GGGGCAGGTGCTGGGCATGCAAGTTTTGGCTGGGAAACGGAATGCATGTAGCGCCCGAGTGCCCGCCGCCGGTGCCCAGCCGACCTCGCCGTCGTCCTCCCATGCCAGCAACCTGTGCATGACCAGCAGAGAGTGAGACAGGCTCGAGACCACCCATTTCCTCCCATCGCATGCAGGAGGGTTATGATCTCGGCGGCGTGGACCTGGAGGCCCTGGATGGGGAGGCCATTGTATCGGCACTCAGGCAGGCGGCCGAGGGGCTCAGGGTAGCGCGGGGCCCTGCCGGCATGCGGGACCTGGAGGCTGGCCTGCCCGCTGGCGTGAGCATCAGCGCCGCAGAGGTCCCGCCCTCCGAGCTGAAGCGTATGCTGGAGTTCCCCGCCGACTGGGGGCCCAGCGAGTGGGGTGAGCGCGATGCTGCGGGGCAGCAAAGTGCACCCTCTTTTGCGAGCCCCAGCCCTGCACAGCCCCGAGCCGGGCCGGGTTGCTAACAGTGTCCATGCTTCCCTCTGACCTGTGCACCCACCAGGCTCTGCCCGTTAACCTTACCCCCCCCCCAAAAAAAAAACAGGTCCCATCCCCTTCCTGCCCGACCGTGACACTCTGGTACGGCGCATGGAGAAGCACTGGGGGCCCCTGGACAGCTACCGCGGGATCGCCAGCAGCTCAGCCGGCGGCCTGGTCATCACGGGCGTCCAGATCGGCAAGGTCTGGATCGGCATCCAGCCGATGCTGGGGATCGAGGGGGACCCAATGCGCCTGCTGTTCGATCGGGACCTCACGCCGCACCCGCAGTACGCCGCCTTCTACCTCTGGCTCCAGGTGCCCGGGATGGGCGAGGGTCTGTGGACTGGGGTGGCGATCGTGCTCAAGGAGAGCTGATGCCTGCTTGCTGCCCTGCACATGGCTGCAGATCGACTGGCTGCAGGCCAGATTTTGGGAAAGGGGAAACTGCTGTGTGTGAAGCGCCAGGCATGTTGATCGCCCTGGTGGTTTGGGGAGAGCGCCGCGCCTACCGCAAAGCATGCACGCACCCCCCTCAGCCTCCCCCTGGCAACCCCAGCATTGCCCCTCTGTAGGGGGCGCATGGGGCGCATGCGGTGCTGCACTTTGGCATGCACGGCACGGCGGAGTGGCTGCCGGGCTCGCCCCTGGGCTCCTCGGCCCTCAGCTGGCCGGACGTGCTGCATGGCGACATGCCCAACATTTACCTCTACGCCGCCAACAACCCCTCCGAGTCGCTCGTGGCCAAGCGCAGGGGGTTTGCCACTGTGATCAGCCACAACGTGCCCCCCTACGGCCGCGCGGGGCTGTACAAGCAGCTGGCGGAGCTGAGGGAGCTGCTGGCTGACTATCGGGAAGCCCCTGGGTCCAGCAAAGACATGCGGGGCACCATCGTCAGTCTTGTCGTGGCCTCAGGTGTGGGACTGTGATGTTGGGGAGTGTGAGATTCATACCGAGAGCAGATGATTGCGGGATGGCATGGGGTCGCAGACGTTTGAGTCTAGGCGTGTACTGCAGGCAAACCCACGACTCCACCTCTCTGCAGGCCTGGATGAGGATGTGGTTCTGGAACAGGACGGGGTCACCTTTGACGCAGACATCGTGGGCGACCTTTCACTGGAGGCCTTCAACAGCTTCACCTTCCGCCTGACCCAGTACCTCCAGGTAGGGACACGGCTCGGGGGTCATGGTCCCATTCCATGCCATGACACGATTCAAGTCAAGCGCGGCGACAACCAACGCCATGCCCGACCTTACCCCCAAACCCACCCTCACATGGCAGCTGCTGGAGGGGCGCCTCTTCTCCTCGGGCCTGCACGTGCTCGGCAAGCCGCCCAGCCGCGAAGAAAGCCTGGAATACCTGGCCGCCTACTTCGGCGACAGGGTCCCACGCGAGGCGCTGGAGCGCGTGGCGGCGGGGGAGTCCGTTCAGAACGTGCACGTCGGCGGTGCGGCACATCCCGAGGCCCCGAGCCTGCTGGAGGAGGCGCAGAGCATCGCCTCGCTTCTGGGGCAGAACGGCGAGGAGCTGCGTGGCCTGACGCGCGCGCTGAGCGGGCAGTGGGTCCAGCCGGCGCCGGGCGGCGACCTGCTGCGGGACGGGCCGGGTGTACTGCCCACGGGCCGCAACATCTTCGCCCTGGACCCGTACCGCATGCCCTCGCCCGCTGCGCTCCTGCGCGGCAGCCGCGCCGCCGAGTCCATTCTGGCGGCCCACAGGTGATGAAGGGGGGAGGGGGGGGTGGAGGTCGGGGGGGAGGGGGGGGTGGAGGTCGGGGAGGAGGGGGGTGGAGGTCGGGGATGAGGAGGAGCAGAATGCCTAGAAAGGCTTGTGTCCCCCACACTCCACCTGTTGCAACCCATGCTGCAGGGAGCAGAATGACTCTGCCTTCCCCGAGACCGTGGCGGTGAACCTGTGGGGTCTCGACGCCATCAAGACCAAGGGAGAAAGCGTGGCCATCGTGCTGCACCTGGTCGGCGCCCGGCCAGTGAAGGAGGGGACGGGGCGCATCGCAAGATTCGAGCTCATACCCTTGGAAGGCAAGGCAGATGCTCTGATGTGGGTGGGGTTGGGCGGTCCAATAGCACACCTGCAAACGTGTGCTCCATCCCAGGGTGCCAGCTTCATCTGATCGAGGCATTGCGTCCATTCATGAGCTACAGTACCCTTGTCCACCCTTCGAACGCCACGATCACGCACCCCTGCCTTCTTTCCTGCCCCACAGAGTTGGGTCGGCCCCGCATTGATGTCCTTTGCAACATGAGCGGCATCTTCCGAGACTCGTTCCAGAACGTTGTGGAGCTCCTGGACGACATGTTCCATGTGTGTGGGATAGGTTGTAGCAGGGGTTTGGGGTCCACAATGAGAGTTCGTGACTCACTTGCACCCTCAGGAGGCCAGCTGGCCACGTTATGCTGGCACCTTAATGGCCCTGCATCTCATCTCTGGACGAATGTCTATGTGCACGCTGCAGAGGGCGGCTGCCACCGATGAACCCGAGGACGCCAACTTCATCCGGAAGCATGCACAGGAGATGGCAAAGGAGGGCCACTCTCAGACAGCAGCCCGCCTCTTCTCCAATCCCAAAGGTCAGTCATGTGGTGGTGGAGGGGGGGGGGGCCCGTTGCGATACCAATCAGCATGTTTGGTGGGGCCGTCTGAGCACACGGATATCATGAGGGTGAAGCTGGCTCCGGCCCATGGGTGGCACCTGGAGCGCCCTGGCACCACAAACGCTGCCCAGATGCCAACCTCCCCGCCCTTCGGTCCCCAGGCGACTACGGCTCCATGGTGAACGAGCGCGTCGGGGCCTCCAACTGGGAGTCTGGCGAGGAGCTGGGCGACACCTGGTCCTCGCGCAATGCCTTCAGCTACGGGCGCGGCGGGGAGCGGGGCCGGGCTCGGCCTGAGGTGCTGGACTCCCTGCTTTCCACCACGGACCGCGTGGTGCAGACGGTGGACAGCGTGGAGTACGGCCTGACCGACATCCAGGAGTACTACGCCAACACGGGCGCCCTGCGCGCCGCGGCGGAGACCGCGCGGCGGCGGCGCGGGCGGGAGGGCGTGGGGCGGGTGGGCTGCTCGGTGGTGGAGGCCACGGGCCGGGAGGACACCCCCCCGCGGGAGCTGGAGGAGGTGCTGCGCCTGGAGTACCGCTCCAAGCTGCTGAACCCGCGGTGGGCGCAGGCCATGGCCGCGCAGGGGTCGGGCGGCGCGTTCGAGATCAGCCAGCGCATGACGGCGCTGCTGGGCTGGGGGGCCACCACGCGATTCGCCCCCGGCTGGGCCTGGGACCAGGCGGCGGAGACATACGCGCTGGACCCCGACATGGCAGACAGGCTGAGGGAGGCCAACCCGGAGGCCTTCCGCAACCTGCTGCGGCGCTGCCTGGAGGCGGCGGGGCGGGGACTCTGGACCCCGGGGGAGGGGGTCCTGGAGGGTCTGCAGCAGCTGGATGCCGACATGGATGCAGAGCTGGAGGGTGTGAGGAGATGATCATGGGGACCTGATGTGGGCGAGGATCGTGTTGTTTGCCGTCGGCATCGCTTGAGAGACGCCTGTCAGCCGCAGCGCCGCTGTCAATTTGTATTTGTATGTCGGGGCGAACCCCACATGCGAGTCATGCACATGGGGGACCAGCGACACATAACGCGGATCTACCAATCGTCTGATGCAAATCACACGTCTCTTGAACGCGCTGCTAGATTGCCGTGGATCTTCAATATGAAGGAATGGCAGCGCGGTGGAACCATCTGAGGGTGAGGCACTGGACAGCAGTGCGTCTCTGTGGAATGCCGAAACGTGCCGTCTCGCCCGAACTGGTAGATCTGACCTCCTCCCCCAAGCGTCAGCTTGTGGACGCCTCATCGCATGCCGCTGTGCCTGAGGAGAGACAGTGCGTCCGGGCCGCCAGCTCCTCCCATCGGTGGCCCGACTCCCCCTTCCACCTGATGCGGGTGAGGGGCCTACCCACATGGGCAAACGAAGGATCCCTGGGCATCAAGCTGAGCGAGGTCGTGGCCGGTCCCATGCGCACAGTCCTGATATCCAATTATGTGAGTGGCGTTGCCGGATCAGAGATCCTGGCCAGAGGGGGACAGGTGGTGAGTGCTCGCGCCTGCAAAACTCGCTGTGATCCGTGTGCAACCATGTACTGATGCGCGCATCCTCCAAGCATGCTTGCATCTGGCTGGACGGCCCGGGCTATGCTTTCACGCACCCTCGACCCTCCATCGCAAAAGATGCTGGACTTTGCATGGCTGCTGAGCGCCTGTCCTGACCTGGCGCGGGCCGAGCGCCTGATCATAGTGCATGGAGAGGGTCAAGACAAGTAGGTTTGGTTGGGAGTGATGCCGATGTGTGCGGCATGTCTCGGACATCGGCCACCATTAGGTGCACAATGCCATTGATTGCGCTTTCGTGGCCAGGGCTCAACCCCGACACCCCCTGCCACCGACAGGGCGGCAGCCGTGGCGCGTGAAGTCCGGGAGGCTGGCCTGGCCAGCAAGACGACCATTCACCAGCCACCGCTGCCCATTCCTTATGGCACGCACCACAGGCAAGAGGAGGAAAGGGCTGGGTTGGGGGCCTGAGCCTCCGGGATGGCTGCCCTGGCCTCGTTCATGGAGATGGGCGTTCCTTGCTGGGAGGGGGGGTGCCACACTGACCCACGCATGGTGCCGCTCCCGACACACCAATGCACCCTGTGCACATCCCGGCCACCCACCCCCATCATCCTCGCATTGCGCAGCAAAGCCTTTGTGATCCTGTTTGAGCGCGGCGTGCGTGTGGTGGTCCACACAGCCAACCTCATCTACCCGGACTGCAACAACAAGACGCAGGCTCTCTACACGCAGGACTTCCCCCCCGCGCCAGATGCCACTGTGAGGGGCTTCCATTTCTTCGTCATACATTCCTCGAGAGGCGTTTCAGGCCCCTGACACAGCCGCTGCCCATCGCTGCCGGTTGTGGAAGATCTCACATTGTCCTGGACCTCCAGCCTGGGTCACCGCCACCCACTGGCATCCCCACTGCAGGCCAGCCCATTCCAAGAGTCCCTGCTGGGCTATCTCGCCCGCCTGCGCATCCCAGCTTCGGCCTACGAGCCCCTGCGCCGAGCACTGCAGCGGCACAACTTTTCCTGTGCGAGGGCGGCCCTGGTCGCGTCCGTCCCAGGCTACCACCAAATGGGTGTGTGGGTGGATGTGGCGGTCTGCCTATCGACCGGTTTCCTCTTGGCCTACAGCCTGCACCTGGGCGCCTGCAGAGTACAGCAGGGTCCTTGGGCGAGTCAAACATGCCCACCTCCCGTCTGTCATGGAGGCAAGCCCCCCACTCCTCCACATCCCCATGATCTCAGCGGCCGGCGACCCGCCCTGGGGCCACCTGTCCCTACGCCGAGAGCTGGCCCGGGAGACTGCCTTCCAGTGCGCGCATGCGTCTACCCCCTTCCTGGCCCAGTTCAGCAGCCTCGGCTCGGTGGACGCCAGTTGGGTGGACGCCGAGCTGGCCGGTTCCGCCGGAGCGGGGGCCTGGCGCGGGGAGGGGGGAGGGACGGGCGGGATGCGGGCCCCGCCCGGCATCGCCACCCTGGTCTGGCCCACCGTGTCCGAGGTCCAGAACAGCCTGGAGGGGTGGCTGGCGGGACGCAGCGTGCCTGGCCCCGCCTCCAACGTCTGCAAGCCCTTCCTAGAGCGGTACTGGCACCGGTGGGGGGGCCAGCCGGTGGGGCGGCAGCGGGCCATGCCCCACATCAAGACCTACTGCCGCTTCGATGCAGCGACGGGGGAGGTGCCCTGGTACCTCACCGCCTCGCACAACCTGTCAAAGGTGGGGTGGCATTGCATTTGCTGCAAGCGCCAACCTTGCAGTTTCTGGGGCTGCGTTCTACTCCATCTCTTTCGTCGTATTTGAATACCTCACCTCCAAAATCCGTTACTCCCTCTCAACCCCTCAGGCAGCGTGGGGCGTGCTGCAGAAAAAGGGGACCCAGCTCATGGTGCGCAGCTACGAGCTGGGTGCCCTGCACCTGCCCAGCCTGGAGGCGGCCTACCTGGCCTCGCAGTGGAGGGGGTATGATGCAGTGACCGGGGCCTGCACAGAGCAGCCCATGCCAGGTGGGGCTGTGTGTGGGTGCAGGGCGAGCCAGTTGTGGAGGTGGAGGGGCAAGAATGGTCCTCAGAAGAGTCTGCACTGGGGATGAGTGTCACACATTCCCACAAAAACTCAAGAACCCTTTCCGTTCCTCGGCAGGTGCCGATCCAGAGCGGCTGCGCTTCGTGGCATGGAAGCGGGGGGGTGCTTACACGCCCAGCGAGGACGCGGAGGAGTGTATCAGGGTCCCCATTCCCATCCCCTACACCCTTCCACCCGCTCAGTATAAGAAACCTGAAGACACTGCCTGGGCAGTGGACTACCCCTGGCCAGGCCTGGATCACTTTGGCTGCACAGTGGAGGCGCCATATGGCGCCTTCTACGGCCTCACAGAAGACATGGAGTGGGCAGACTTGGGCAGGAGGCCGTGACGTTGGCAAAGATTTGCTTTAAGGTTGCTTTTTAGGCATTTCGTTCCAGGCGTCACAGTATGTAGAGACTCTGCCATGCTGTGGCCCATCGTCTGCTGAGGAATGCTCTGCCTCCCGAGATCAACGCGCCCACGCTGGGAATCTTAGGGCGCGAGATAAGTGGCGAGGAGTGTTTAAGGCATGGCAGGTCTGATTGATACATTCAATCTCATAATTGTGGTAATGCTAAGCATCTGATCCTGCCTGGATGGTCTCCCTCGGCTGACGCGGAGGAGTGTGCGCGGCGACTGGCTGCCGATGGAGCCGCTGCTGTGAAGCCCGCCGCCTCGCTGACACCGGAATGGCGATACCAGAGGCGGGGGCTAGGACCGATTTGAACAGATTGCAGGTATGCGAATGGCATCCTGGGACGAGAGGGAGCATCTCTTGGTGCCATGTTTCCACGCAGTGCTCACAGGAGGAACGCCACACTCACCCGCAGACTGATCAGACCAGTTTCTTCGTCATCAGGGTGGATGCCTCCCCCTCCACCACCGCCATCCCTGGCGGCACCTTTGTGACGGTGGAGTCGGGGCCGTATCTGAACCTCGACAGTGCTTTGCATTCCCTCCAGCACCCCCGCCAACGGGTACGGACTTGCATCTGTATCCTTGCGCTGAAAGGGGAAGGGGTACCCATGAGACCAGTCCTGCACGCTGGATATGCTGCATTAGGCTATGGTAGTGTCTTATCATAGCTCAATGCATGTCCAACAACAGGCACATGTGGCTCCTGACATTGTCTTCCTCCACGAGAGCGTGCCGGTCTGGATACTGGACGAGCCTGTCCCGGCCAAACCCCGCATGCTCATCACAGCCTCCCACCTGGAAGCTGCGAGAGCCATGAGGTGAGAGGTCGTCTGCATGCAGGGCATGGGAGATGCAGTCGCGGGTGTGAACCAACCCTACCTTGTTCTGCACATTTTGGGTCCTGTAGTCATCTGACCTACGCGTGCCCCAGCCTCTCCAGCGCCTCAAGCCTGGACACCCTGCCGCGCGCGCAGGGAGCCATCAGCACCTCCGAGCCAGCTGAAACCCTTTCCCAACACCGCGGAGGTGGAGCTGTGGCCCCCACGGTCAGGCAGGCAATCTCATGCGCACGCCCCCGTGGAACCCAGGGGCGCGGCATGGAGAGTGGATGGTGGCGGGTTGGTGGTGTCGCCTGGTGGTCCCATGGTCACCACCCCGTTGCAGCGGGCGGCTGCTCCCAGGACCTTGGACAAGGCCATGTCTCCCGGGTCACACTGCGCCCCTTCCCACAAGTGATGAGGCACTGCGTGAGGAACTCCGCGCACCTCTATTAAAGTGTTGTTATCAGGTGGCATCTGCAAATTCACATCTGCTCTCCCCCTCTCAAACCCCTGTGTCTTCTTCGCTGCTGTTCCTGCTTCTCCGAAATGATGTATCATGAGCGCTGAGACACGCGCCGCACTGTGACCTATTTAAGGACTCACTTGGTCAGTCGAGGAGTGGGTGTGTGGTGTGAGCTCACAGCATGGGCCATGGGCATGCTATTGCTAACGCTGACGTGTCGCTTTCGGCAACTTTCCGAGATGATGCCTTTGCGACGTGACGTGACAATTCCCCGGAGGGCATGGAGCCCTGCCCTGGACACGGGAATACCATCGAGACATATCACACAAAAATAATATCTAGAGCTCGTCTGGGACTCCGCAGCCAGCCCTCACCGGCCAGATTGCAGACACTCGGGACGGGAGGTCCACGAGACCCCACCATGTCCCGTCGTCAGGACGTTCTGGCTGGCCACCTCTCGGCGAACCCAGCCCAGAATGATGCGGTGGCCCCCTTTCCCACCTCCGCGCGGGCGCACCGCCAGCTCCCCCGGTTCGACGCCACGTTGATGGAGCGTTACATGGACCCCTCCCACCTGCTGAAGGAGGAGGTGTACGCCGTGTTCCGGGAGCACCCGGAGCTGCTGGTGAAGGAGCTGGAGGCCCTGTCCAAGGAGGAGCACCGGGAGCTGGTGCGGCGCTGCCTGCGCGCGCTGCTGGCGTCGGGGCAGAGCCCATTGACGCTGCTGGCCTCCGACCCCCGGCGCTACTTCTACCTGGGCGAGCTCATGTCCCTGGTGGACCTGAGCCTGACGGTGAAGATGGGGGTGCAGTACAGCCTGTGGGGCGGCAGCGTGCTGAACCTGGGCTCGGAGGAGCACCGCCGCCGCTACTTCGACGCCATCGACCGCTTCGACCTCCCCGGCTGCTTCGCCATGACCGAGCTGCGCCACGGCTCGAACGTGGCGGCGCTGCAGACCGAGGCAGTGCTGGACGTCGAGACCGACGAGTGGGTCATCCATACCCCCGACGACGGCGCGCTCAAGTGGTGGATCGGGAACGCGGCGGAGGACGGTCTGGCCGCCACGGTCTTCGCGCGCCTCAAGGTCCCTGCGGCCTCCGGCCGCCGCGAGCTGGACGACCACGGCGTGCACGCCTTTGTGGTGCCTCTGCGCACCGCGCCGGGGCGCCTGGCTCCGGGCGTGGACATTCAGGATTGCGGCTACAAGGTGGGCCTCAACGGCGTGGACAACGGCGCCATCCGGTTCACGCATGTACGCGTGCCGCGCGGCGCACTGCTGGACCGCTTCGCCAGCGTGGACCGCGCGGGGCGGTACTCCTCGCCCATGCCCTCCGCGGCCAAGCGCTTTGCGGCCACGCTGGGGGAGCTGACCGGTGGGCGCGTGGGTCTCACCGCCGGCAGCCTGGGCGTGCTCAAGGGCGGGCTGACCATCGCCATCCGCTACTCCGCGCAGCGCCAGCAGTTTGGCCCCGGGGGCGCAGCGCCGGAGGTGGCGGTACTGGACTACCCCTCCCAGCAGCTGCGCCTGCTGCCCGCGCTGGCCACCGCCTACGCGCTGACCTTCGCCAAGGACGCGCTGGTGGACAAGTACGTGGAGATGAAGCGCACGCGCGACGAGGCGCTGACGGCCGACGTGCACTCGCTCAGCGCGGGGCTCAAGGCCTACACCACCGGGTTCACCGCCGCCACGCTGTCGGTGTGCCGCGAGTGCTGCGGCGGGCACGGCTACGCGGCCGTCAACCGTCTGGGCGCCCTGCGCTCCGACCACGACATCTTTCAGACCTTTGAGGGCGACAACACCGTCCTGCTGCAGCAGGTGGCTGGCCTGCTGCTCAAGGAGTACCGCGACTCCTTCCGCGGCTCCCCGCTCGCCGCCTCCTGGTCCTACCTGCGCGCTGCGCTGGGCGACGCGCTGCCCGCCAACCCGCTGCTCGCGCACGACACCACGCCACGCCACCTGCGCGACCCGCGCTTCCTCATCTCCGCGCTGCGCCACCGCACTGCGCGCATGCTGCACACCGTGGCCGCGCGTCTGCGCAAGCACACGCGCCGCCACGGCGCCTTCAAGGCCTGGAACAGGTGCCTGCTCCACCTCCTGGTGAGGGGGCTGGCGGGAGGGGGGGCGGGGGGTGATCATTGGCAGGGTGGGGACCGGGGGCTGAAGAGGGGCACAGGAGAGCTCCCGCGGCACGGTTCGGGGAGAACCCGCCGTCCCCACGCGACACCCATACCCCCCCTCGCAACTGCCCAGGACCTGGCCCGGGCGCACATCGAGAGCGTGGCGCTGGAGTCCATGTACGCGGGCGTGCAGCGCTGCAACGACCCCGACTGCCGCAGCAGCCTCAAGGCGCTGGCGGACCTGTTTGCGCTGTCGCGCATCCACGCCGACATCCTGTTCCGTAACGACGACTACCTGTCCCCGGAGAAGGCCAAGGCCGTCAAGCGCATGGTGGAGTCGCTGTGCGGCGAGCTGCGCGGTGTGGCGGTGGCCCTGGTGGACGCCTTTGGCATCCCGGACCATATCCTGCGAGCGCCCATTGGCCTGGCCAGCGCGCAGCACGACCCCTACGGCGAGTACCTGGCCGCCACGGGCTGGGAGACCTGAGCGCGAGAGAACGAGGGGATGGAGGGAGCAGCAGGAGGAGGGGGTCATGGGGCAGGACGATGACACGGGCGGTGCATCGTGTCACCCTCCCAACCCTCCCTCCCCGTCTCCTCAGGGATCGCACTCCCACCCCCACCGTCTGGCATCCAATGCATGCACCCCGACGTAGTAGACACCCCTTCTAGCGCGACAAACTGCACACTTTCCTCCGTGCTCGGAATCCCTTAGCCCGCGACGTAGCGCTGCTCTTCTCCTGCCCATTCTTGCACACCGGTGCTGTAGCAGTACGTAGTCCATAGCATGCCCAGCCCAGGAAACAACAGCAGGCAGCGGTCCAGGCCTCACGTCTCCAGCCCCAGCACCCGGCTCCTCTGGCCCAGAGCCCTCTCCAACACAGCACGAGCCCGCCTCGCTTGCAGGGAAGTTGGCCGGGCTGCCCGGAGTGGGATGGGCTCCGCCACCCCAGGGCCCCGTCCCTCTGGCAGCGGCGAAGCCTCCCTGCCCCTCGCGCCTGCCTGGGCCGCCGCCTCCCCGGCGGCCGTGGCCAGCAAGAACTCGTTGTCTGTGATGGGAGGCGGGAGGGTGGTGGGGCCAGCCTGGGCCAGGGGAGGTGTAAAGTTCCACCCCGCTGTCCCAGCTTGTATGTGCTCCCCCAACCGGGCGCTCCGCGAGCCCACCTGCCCCCTGCAGGGCCTGCAGCAGCTTGGCCCGGCGGTAGCCGACCACCACCACGTCCAGGGACAGGAGCCCCGCGGCAGACGCTGACTCAGCGCCCTGGGCGAGCTGGGCCAGCTGCTCCGTCATCATCTCGGAGAACTCGCCCAGCTCGATCTCCCCCGTCCCATCCTTGTCCACCTTGTCCAGCAGGGCGGCGATGCCAGTAGGGCCGATGCGGATGCCCAGAAGCTGTCGGGCGTGCTGGGCGGGTGGGGCCGCTGGTGGTGTGAGGAATGGGGGGAGCGGGGCAGTGTGTATGGAGGTGTTGCACACCAGGGTCCACATCAGCGCAGCCAGGGTGTGCCCCCCAGCTTTCAACACAACGAGCTGTCCCTGCGGCTTACTCCAAAGGCGTCGGAGAGCTCGCTTGCATCGATGGCGCCCGAGGCATCGCTGTCCATCATGTTGAAACACATCTCCATGTCGGCGAGCTGCTGTGCTGTCATGCGGGGACGCACGGTGCGCCCATGCACCCGCAGCCATTTGCGGATGGAAGGGCTGAGGAGAGGGAAGGCCTCCTCCAATCTCCGACCTGGGGGAGGGGCGCATGCCGGGGTACCTGGGCAGCCTGGCAGTGACCCGACCCCTAGTGAGACCCTCCCCAGGGGTCCCCTGAGGGAGATGATGCAGGATGATGGCCGCTCTTCAAACAACACTTCACACGTACCATCATGCTGTGCTATGGTCAAAGGTCCAAGCTCTGACACTGATTGATCGTCGACGGGGCGGGGCCCGAAGGGCTGGTCCCGAGCGCCGTCATTGTGGGCGGAGAGCAAAGGGACTTCTCCTCTCATTCACTGGGCGTGAGTCGAAGTCACCCTGGAGGTGAGCAAGTATCGAGCAGCCCCTTCGGAATTCCCATTCACCGTGGCTCCTCTCAATGACGACTCCGACATGCCCGAGGTGGTAGCGGGAAGCCGGCTGTCGATTCAATTCCTGGCCCATCGCCCCTGCCACGCCTGCTGCCTTACACTGCACATCCAGATGGGGAGCAGGACCCCGACCTACACACTATCCTCCCCTGCGGTTCTCTTGCGCCGCTCCTATCGCCATATGGACAGGCTGTCCTGCTGCTGCCCTCCCGCCGGCTGCGCAAAGCCGGGGAAGCCCTCGAAGCCCGGGGGCCTGGCAGGCGGGCCCCCCGCCCGGGACCCCGGCCGCTGCCCCGCCTCCTCGGCGCCAAGCCAGGTGTTCAGCGCGAGGCTCGCCGCGGCCCGCGCATCCGTCAAGCCCCTGGAGCCCGCCCCGCCCGCTCCCGCGGCGGCCGCGGCGGGCGAGGCCGGGCGGGACACGTGCGCTTCACCGTCCCGCCCCCGCCCCGCGCCGCCGCGCGCGGCGGCCAGCTCCGCCTCCAGGGCGTGCAGGCACGCGCCCAGCGTGTCCACGGCGTGCTCCAGGCTGCATCGCCCCCCCGCCAAGGAGGCGCGCAGCGAAGCCAGCAGCGCCCCCGCCGAGGGGGAGGGCGTGGCCAGGGGGACGGTCACCTGGCAGGCGCCAGCGATGGGGTCCTCACCGGGGACGGTGGTGGCCCGGAAGTGGACAGTGTGCAGGGTGCCGGGGGCCGTGGGGAGCGGGGGCGGGCACGGGCTGGGCTCGTGCGTGGACGGCGCGGCGAGCAGCGCCGGTGCCTGAGGCTCCTCAACCACGCGCTGCTGGGCCTGCTGCGCATGGGCCTGCCGATGCTGCGCAGGTGGCTCCGCCGGCGCGCGCTGCTGGGCCTGCTGTGCCTGGGCTTGCCGCTGCTGCTGCTGCTGGGCGGGCGCTGCTGCCGCCTGCGCTGGCGGGATGCGCGGGCTGGGCATGCGTTGCTGGGCCGCAGGCAGCGAGAGCACCCGCGGGGCCGCCGCAGTCTGGCTCGCTCGGTTGCCGGGCCGCCGGGCAGGGGTGGGCTGAGGACGCGGCTGTGGGGCGGGGCCGGGGCTGGCCCGCACCTTGCCCTGGTAAGAGGGGTCGTAGGGCGTCCGGCACCCGGGACCTATGAGGGTGTGCATGGATGGGCAGTGCGTGGGGCCTTGTGGCATGGAGGAGGGTCGCCCATGATGAGGAGCGCCTGGGCGACCTCCGGTTCGCAATGGGCATTGGGCCTCAAGGGTAACAACAGCGCAACCACCTCCAGTAGCCAGCCCTGAATGCCTCAGACCAACCCTCACGACATCCATACATTGATTGTTGAATTCGTTCCTAATGCGCTCGTAGCAGAAGAGGCAGAGCTGGTACCCACAAGGGCACGGTACCCAGCCACTCTCCATGACATCGAGGGGGGTGATGCAAAGGGGGCACACCAGCCCATCCTGCGAGCGTTTAAATGTCAGAAGTCTCTCCGGGATGTGCGCCGGGAGGCGAGCGCCACGCATGCAGGCCCCGGCGTTGAGCACAGCGGCGCACCACTCCCCCGCTCACCCCTTCCTCCATGTCGGCCGCTCGCTGCGCGAAAGGTTCTGACCGAAGCTCGTAATCCGTGAGATAAGAGTCTGCAGCCCCAGGCTGGGACTGCTCACATGCACCCTCGAACAGCGCGCAGCGCCCTGCTTGCGATCCGAGTTTGAGTTGCCGTGCATTGTTGTTTCCATCCCAGGCCCCTTTACATCCCTCCGTCCCCATGCTGCCAATCCGAGCCTGGAGGGTACAGATGCTGCGCATTACTGGTCTTGCTGCATCTCAGGATCCCAACCATTCTCACCTGGAAACTCGTTGTAAGTCACTAACATGCCCCACCCTGGAGGTGTGTCACAGCTAGATATTTGTTAGGCGGGTCAGTCAGAGGTCGTCGTCAATTCGTTGTGGGGCGATAAGTATGTGTGTGGCGATAAAAAGAGCCCGAAAGCTTTGTTTAGTACCGTTCATGCAAGGGTAGAGAGAGAGAAAGTGACAGGGAAAGAAAACACTCAGGCCCCAGGCCGCCCTCTAACAATGTGTCGGAGGATGGCGTGAGACCGTCAAAACGAACTCCAACGTTCAGCGTAGCTTCCGGACCTTGCGCGACGTGTCCAGCCTCTGGCGGGACGGCGGCGCGGCGCCGACGGGATCCGGGATGGGGACTGCAGCGAGGCCGGTCCCCTCGTCCAGCTGCTCACGAGAGAAGTCCAGCCGTCGAGCAGGGCTGGGGTGCACCACCTCCTGCCGCTGAGGGTGGGTGCGGTGCACGTCTGCCGCGCTGGGTACCAGGGTATGTGCGAGGACCAGGGAGGGCGGCACGCTCAGAGGTGGGTGCGCCCCAGCCTTTATTTTCTTCCGGGCCACTTGCTTCTTCTTCGGGGCGGGGGGGGGCTGACGGATGTCTACTGGTGGAAGGCCCTGTGAAGCAGGTGTGCAGCAGGGGGAGGGCGAGCGGGAGGGGGTGGTCCACTCGCGGGTCCCCGTCTGCGGAGGGGCGGTGGTGATTAGGTGAGCTTAGGTGTCCATCTCGACAGGTCCCGAACGGGCAAAAATCTGGGCGAACTGGTCGACTCACCAAGGGGTCGCCTGCTGGCGACGAAGCAGGCCCTGGAAGGGCCGATGGCGCCCCGTCACTCTCGCATGATGTGGTGGCAGCCTGCGGGGGCGCAGATGCGCAGTAGTTGGAGCAACGTGACCGAGGGTGTGGGCGCGGCCCTGCAAGACCTGCGCAGCGCCAGGTGCATCACGTATATAGCAATGTCCGTTATCACCTCAGATTCGGAGCCTGGGGGTGACTGGAGGGCCATTCCCAGGCGTCAGGCACTTGCTCTGGCACCAGAGCGCGAGCCAGGTCACAGCCACGAGTATAGCAACATGTCCCGGCAAACTGCCAGATATCGATACAAAGTACCAAGCAAGGCATGCGTCATGGAACAATGCAAGCTGTGAGGCACACAAGAGCAACAAGTTGGGCCAGTTCGGAGGTGCGTGATGGGACCCCGTCTCATACCTAGCGCGCCGGTCCTTTCTTATCTCCCACGGCATCAGACACGTCCCCGTGGGTCCAAGAGCGAGAGATGGCTCCACCTTGATCAAAGAAAGCAGTTTAGAAACCTCTCAGAATTTGGGCATGGATGTAACGGGAGTTCTTCCTTGTAGCCCTTGGTAATCGAGTACCAGGGCCGCCACACCCACTCCCTGACCACCTGCTTCCACCTTCCTCTACGAGGCAACGGCAGTATCAGCGGAACGGTAGGAACGATCGAAGAATTAACGACAGCATCTGTGGAACTGGCAGGTGTCTTGAGTCGCAGTGTTTGGCCTGATGCTGGCTGAATGTTCACTCTACCCTCTCGTTCTGCGTGGCGTCATCATGACAGACGGCCATAAAACAGCGCAATGACACCATCGCTGTAAGCAAGCATAACGAGATTAGTAGGACATGGCTTCTGCCCTGTCACGGTAGATAACTGTGCTCAAGTGTCGATCCGTTGTGGGCTTCGGTTGTCCGGCCTGGGCAGGCCTTCCCAACTCTGCCAGTGCAGGCTCCATGCAAATATCATGCACGCCACACCATGGAGACGCGCGGCAATGCATGAGAAGACGCTATCAGCGGGTTTCGTGTCGGATATTTCCGCCAGTGGCTCGGATATGCGTGTGAGTGTCGGCAAAGTGTCTTCAGTGCTGCTGCAGAGCCGTGGCGGAGTGGGAGTGGTGGGGTCTGCGTTCGCTCCAGCCAGGAGGGAGCTCAACATGACGATTAACAACCACCCAACTATGCATCGCCCAGTCGAGCGCGCTGCCAGGAGGTCATCACGGGGCCCGACATGGGGTCCATCGTCTCTTCCCTGGCCAACAGGATCTTGGCACAAGCTGCCGCGCTGAGGCCCTTAGAGAACAGGTGATGCGGGGGGGCGTCACACCAGCACCCCGGTCGATCAGGGCAACAGCTTGGCCTGGCTCCTCAGCATGACCACCGCCCTGCGCAGGAGGTACCTGGTGGGCATTGCTGGGGTGCCCGGGTCAGGCAAATCGACGCTCGCGGCGCATCTCCAGGCGCGCATAAACGCCCTGACAGGCGGGGCGGTGGCGGCCGCGGTCCCCATGGATGGCTACCACCTGACCCGCGCCCAGCTGGACGCCATGCCAGACCCAGAGGAGGCGCACATGCGCAGGGGGGCGCCCTGGACCTTTGACCCGGGGTCCTACCTCGCCACCCTGCGCTCCCTGAGGACGCCTGGCGCCGGTGAGTGGGACTGGCGTTGGTGTGCAGTGGTGGGGTGGTGCCGATGTTGGACCCCAAGTGATTACTGCCTCTGCGGTCGCTCTTTCCAGGCTGCGTGGTACACTGAGAAGCGCACATGCTCAGCGTCACAGAATGAAGACCAGGACACGCTGCACACCACTGTCCCTGGCTACATCCATGCAAAGTGCAGGCTCGCAGGCCTGCCCATCGTTTGACCACGGGGTGGGCGACCCCCGCCCAGGCGACGTCCAGGTGGAGCCGCACCACAGCATCATCCTGACGGAGGGCAACTACCTGCTCATAGGCAGGCACACGTTGTGTTCAGTGTCCTTGCACCGCCCTGATTTCCCAGGCCCTGCCTGCCTTCCTGTTCCTTGCACGATCACCAGCGGCTGACGGCCGGCGCAACCCGTACGCCCCCTCCCCCTCTTCCCCCGTCCTCAGATGAGGCGCCGTGGCGCGAGGTCCGGGACGTCTTGGACGCCTGCATCTTCCTCGCCTGCGACCTGGAGGTCGCCATGCGTCGCGTCACGCGCCGCCAAGTGGCCAACGGCGCCAGCCTGGAGGCCGCGCGGGCGCGGGTGGCGTCCAACGACCTCCCCAACGCCCGGCTGGTGGCCGCGAGCTCGGGCAGGGCATGCTGGCTGGTGCCCTCCATCCCCCACGCCGCCGAGTGAGCCCGGGGGTGGGAGCGCGGTGCGCGTGATTTACGCTGTGAGCGGAGTCCGACCGGCAGCGGGTCACAGGGATGTTACAGGGAGGTGAAGGGGTGCACAATATCAGAGGACGGTCAACATGGGGGTTCTTGAGGAGGGCACGGAGGGGGGTGACGCCCAGGGGGGTGTTCGAGATGGAAGAATGTCACAGAGTGGGAAGATGCTTGCGCCGGAAAAGCGCTTGGCAGGGGGGTCCGTGTCCAAGCGGTGATTTTGGTGAAGGACCCTGCGGCTGGGCCAGTCGGGGTGGGGAGCGGGCCAGAGGGGTCCTCAGGGTGGCCCCCACGAGGCTCACATGCGGAGCGTTGGGTCCGGCCGCTGGCACGGTGGTGCCTCGCAGAGGGCCCTCCACGCACTCAGGCGCGCTCCCAGACCGCCCACTGGTCGCCCCAGCAGCTCAGGCTCCACTCTCGCACGTTTGGCGGCTGCCAGTCCTCCGGCCCCAGCTTGCAGACCAGCGCCGCGTCGACCTCGGCCGCGTAGAGGCCGGCGCGCGCCTCCAGAACGCGCAGCGCGCTGCGGCAGTGCACGCGCGCGCGGCGCCGCGCGGCGAGCAGCGCCCGGATGGCGGCGCGCAGGCCGCCGCCCCAGGCGAAGAAGTGGTCGTGGAAGACGCAGGGCGTGCCCGGGTGGGTGAGGCAGTAGGCGTACCCCTGCGCGACGGCGTGCGCCGGGAAGGGCCAGTGCCCCTGGCTGGACCCGGTGTCGTGGTTGTCCACGAAGGTCACGGCACGCGAGGGCCAGAGGCCCACCAGCCCCGGGGCGCGGCCGCAGGCGTCGCGCAGGCGCCAGTGCTCGCCGCGCTCCAGCGCGGCCTGCAGCACGCCCTTGGTGGTGACGTCGAAGGCGGCGGCGCGCCCCCCCGCCGCGTTCAGCCAGGCCAGCAGCCGCCCGCGGTGCGCGTCCTGGTCGTGGTCGGGCGCGCCGTCGGGGCCGTAGGCCAGCCCGTCCCAGAACTCGCCGACGGCGAAGCGCGGGCCCGAGGCGCGCATGTAGTCGGCGACGTGGGCGCCGGCGAAGCCGCGGACAAAGTCCAGGCGCCAGCCGTCCAGGCCGACGTCGGAGCGCAGCCAGGCCAGCCAGGCGCAGAGGTCGGCCTTGACGCGGGGGGAGGCGTGGTCGATGTTGGGCGCGGCGTGGAAGGGGGCGCCGGAGGAGGGGGCGCCGGTGCCGCCGTAGGCGGCGTCGTCGCCCACGATGGCCGCAGCGTCCCAGTCCAGCCGGCCGCCGAAGAGGTTGTAGCGGCCGCAGGGACCGCGCCGCTCTGCACAGCGGTGGTTCACCACCACGTCGCCCAGCGCTAGCAGGCCGTGGGAGTGCAGCGCGGCCACGCAGGACCGCAGCGCGGCCTCGCTGCCGTAGGCGGAGTCCAGGTCGTACAGGTCGCTGGGCAGGTAGCCTTGGGGGCTGACCGAGCGGGTGGGTGGGGGCAGCCAGACCGCGGTGAAACCCGTGTCGGCGATCTCGCCCGCGCGCGACGCCAGCTGGTCGTACCAGCCGTGCCGCCAGGACTCCCAGTTGAAGCCCTGGAGCAGGACCTCACGCCCGCTGCCCTCAGGGGCCGGGGGCGGCGAGGTGGCGGCCGCGTCCCAGGCGCCGGAGGTCAGCCCCTCGCCGCGGGGCCAGAGGGTGCTGCAGGGGCTGGAGCCGCTGCGCGCGCCGGCCAGTCTGGCGTGCTGCGCCTCGCTCACGCCCTCCAGCTCCCGCTCGATGGCGCGCAGGCGTTGCCAGGCGGACAGGGGGTGCGCCTGGCGCGGGGGGGGGAGGAGGGGGGAGGGTGGTGATGGGCGTGGGGTTGAGGGGAGGTAGAACGTGTCTCTGGAACGGGGACAGAGCCAAGACGCAGGACGGTGTAGGATGTGTGAGACCATGGGGCACTCAGTCAGCAAAGGCATAAGCATCCCCCCCCCACAAGAACACACACACACCTGTGCCTTGGCGGGCTTGAACCTGTACTGGACCAGGGACCGCTCCGCCGACCGGCAGGCCTCCTCCAGCGTGCCGATGGTGAATGGAGCGTGCCCTGTCTGCTGTGTGGAGGGCGCGGCATGGCACCTGCATGGCGCGACGAGGTGAAATGGTGAACACTGCTCCTGCCGGGTAGGTGGGTGCCAGAAACCACAGTCGCAGGCAGCCACTCCCGAGGATTCCTTCTCAGGACCGGCCTCGGGGCACTAGAGTGAGTGCCAATACACGTACAAGCATCCGTAAGCTGTTGCCCCTCCCACGCACCTGCATCCTGAAGCCCTGACCGATACGGGGGATGCACAAGGTTTTAAACCACCAACACCTCGATGGGCCATCGCAGGGAGTGATCTGGCTGCCACTCACCCTGCAATCATCAATCGTGCTCCACTCGGGGTCCTGCTTGTCATTTTGACCAAAGAAATGCGTCCCTCTGTGCCGATCGAGCGCATTCTGAGACCTGTGCCGAACCGGCGGACGAGGCCCCCCGTGAGATTCGAATCTTGGCCATGGGACAGCCGCAAGCATGGCACTGGGTGCACCTTTCCCCTCCAGCTCGGCCTCAAAATTACATACGCTCGTCACAGGCCTTCTCAGCATGGTACTCTGTCGGGGGCTGGGCGCGCACGTCAGGCGCCGGGCAGAAAGGCCCTCATCGCCGGCCTCAGAGGCTCGCCTTGTAGGCCTCCCACCCCGCGCGGCGGTACTCTGCCGCGGCCGCGGCGGGGTCCTGCGCCGCGATGACCCCCCGCCCCACGATGATGACGTCGCTGCCGCGCTCGCCGATCACCGAGGCGGGGGTGTTGTACTGCTGGCCCAGCGCGTCGCCGCCGGCCGACAGCTGCACGCCCGGGGTCATGTGCACCAGGCCCGGGGACCCGGGCCCGCCGGGCCAGGAGGCGGGGGACACGGAGATGTAGCCCATGACAAAGTCCTGGTTGGCCTCCGCGGCCGCCACCACGCCCGCGCTGTACTCGCCGCGCGCCAGTGTGCCCTTGCTGCTCATCTCAGCCAGGAGGAGCAGGCCGCGGCCCAGGGGCGCGCCCACCTGCCGCAGCCCGTCGATGATGCCAGGGCCGGGCACCAGATGGGCGTTGGTGATGTGAGACCAGTCGGCGATGCGGTACACGCCGCCGCCGTACTGCATGACCACAGTGTTGCCGATGTCCGCAAACTTGCGGTCCTCGAAGATGAGGAAGTCTGGTGCGTGGCGGGGGGGGGGGGGGAGGAGTGAGGTTTGGGAGGGCTGCTGAGCTGGTGCAGGTGGGGACAATGGACGACAGAAAGTGCAGACAGTGCACAATCAGGGGCAACAAGTGGGTGGAACCATGGCGCAGCAGCATTGCCTGGGCCCGGGCAGGGCGTCTGTTTTGCATGCTTAAGGATGGCCAGGAGCCGCTTCCCAGCACAGACACTGCCGGCGGAGGGCACTCCAAAGAGGAGGATGAGTAGAATACACGAAAAAGAATGTGCCTGGGCACGAGGGGGCTGGGACCGGCCTTGACATGGCACGAAGCCCCGACGGGCGCCGGGCCAGGGTCCGGGGCCGGGGGTGGACTGCACGCCTTGCGGCAGCGGCCCACCCCCCCAGTCCCCAGTCCCCGGCCCGGCCCCCTCTCCCCCCGCCCCCAGGCGGAGCCCTGTCCCCGTGAGGGACAGGGGCTCGGTCAGTGTGGCAAGGTGTCAAGAGAGGTCGAGGCATGGGGGTTTGCCGGACTCTGATTCGGTTTCTTGCCATGGACAGGAGTGGGTTCGATTCACGGGGCAGTGGCCAGGCGCACCAGCCTGGGCGTGTAGTGTCGGACCACCCTCCCGCCCCCAAAGGCCCTCGCACGAGGCTCCAGCTGTGTATTGCTGTCCCGGGTCCCTCCATCAAAGAGCTCCTTCCCTCCCCTTCCGAGGCGCCCCACCGCTCAAGAATACCCCCCCGAAAAGTCGAACCAACCGTGCTTGGCGGCCAGGGCCTGGAGCTTGGCGGCGTGGTCGGGGGTCCAGGTGTCAAACACGTCCACATGGGTCTTGAGCACGCAGATGTGGGGCCCCACCGCGTCCGCCAGAGCCAGCATGTCGTTTGCGCTCTCCACGTCGGCCGCCACCGACAGGTTGGTCCGCTTGCGGGCCATGAGCCGGAACAGCTCCGCGCCCTGCGCGTTCTTGGCCAGCTCGGCGCGGGCCTCGTACGCCAGGCGCCGCGGCGCGGGCGCCGCGGCCGGCTTTGCCTCGGCCGCCGGCGCGGCGCCGGTCGCCCCCGCCGGCCCCGTCTGGTTGGCAGCCAGGAAGGCCTTGGTGGCGTCGGCCAGGCCCGCCTCCACCCGCCCCGCGGCCACCAGCACATCCAGGATGAAGGAAAGGGTGAATGCGGAGTGCAGGGTCAGGCCTTGGGATGCCAGGCGCGCCGCGCCGCCCTGCTGGCGGTCGATGAGCACGACGACGTCGCGGACCTGGAGTCCCTCGGCCTCCAGCGGGGCCACCGTCTCCTGCACCGAGGCACCGGAGGTGACCAGGTCCTCCACCACCAGGCAGGTCTGGCCGGGGAGGAAAGCGCCCTCGATGGCCTTCTTGGTGCCGTAGTCCTTGACCTCCTTGCGCCGCATGAGCATGGGCGTGCCGTGCTGCAGCGACATGGCCGTGGCGATGGGCAGTGCGGTGTAGGGCACGCCGCACATCACGTCGAAGCTGGCCGTTTGCACACGGTCCCACATGGCCTCAGCCACCTGGGTCAAGGGGTGGAGGAAAGAGGGATGGGGTTAATGCGGGAGGGGCGACACCCTGGGGAGGACCCGGAGAGGAATGGCATGTACGCCACTGGTGGCCCAGGGTATCAACAACCTCATGACATAACACACCAGTCACATCCCAGAACCCACCCGAAGGAGGACATCGGGGTAGGATACAATGACACGCAGGTCGACGTAGACTGGGGAAGTGATGCCGCTCTTCAGCTTAAATTCGCCAAACTTCACGGCCTGCGTGCAGGGAACGCAGAGCGATCCAAGAAAGGGATGGTTCAGGAGGGAGCGGTGCAATACTAAGGGTGTAGGAAGGCGGTGGGTCTAGGCAGGGCCATTATCGGCGACCCTTGTCGGACAGACCGCAGGCGCACCTGGATGTCGTGCAGCTTGAGCACCAGATCCTCATAGTCCTTGCTCGACACCGTGCCGGTCTACGGAATGGTGTGCACGAAAGCGGATGATGGCAGCGAGGCTGAATCGGGAATCCATCGGCCGGGTCCCACCATCACCCCGCGGGCGCGCACAGGCTATTCGGACTGTACCTTGGCAGGGATGACGCCGACCATGCTGATGGCCTGGATGAGAGCTGCTTGGCGTTTGCAGGGTGTGAACGATGCCCTGCCGGAGGACCGGGGCGTGCCGCCGACACAGTGAGGGAGTGCGGTGGGCAGGAGGCGGGCTGGGGTGGAGACAGCGCCGCGCCGGGGCAGCAAGCTCCTCATGCAATGCGTGGAGGGTGTAACGGTGGTGCGCCGGCCTGCCGCCTGTCTCAAGGCCTTGACAGGGCCCCACCCTGCGGTGGGAGAGGGACGGGTGTACACGTGTAGAAAGCTGGGACTGGGTCGCCAGGGCGCGCTCACCTGGTAATCGGCAAGGCGTGGGTAGGGTTTCACGCTCCCAGCCTATCAGCATGCATTGGCATGTGTATACAATACGACACTTCCGAGCGTCCTAGGTACAGGAGGCACCTCGCGTCACGATGAAGGTCGTGGCCCTCGTCAGGTGGGTGTGTGTAGGGTGTGCAGGTCCCTTTCATATACTAACAAGGTGAGGGTCGCGGTAGAATCCTCATCCTCCTGTATTGATTTCACAGTGGGGGCAAGGACTCATGCTTCACCATCATGGAGGTCACGCGATTTGGCCACGAGGTGAGGGTTCGGTAGTTGGACAGTGGGCCTCTCGGCTCACTTGACGCCTGGCGATGGGTGGCAGCTCGTATGCTGGCCCCAGGACCAAGGGGCCAGATGCACATGCCCAGCTCATGTAAAAACTTCCAAATCTCATGTCCATTATCGACCAATCCTCGATCCCACGAGTATCAGGTGGTTGCCCTGGCCAATCTGCTCCCCATGGAGGAGGGCGTCGACGATCTGGACAGCTGGATGTACCAGACCGTGGGACACCAGGTGGTTGCTGCCCTTGGTCAATGCATGGGGCTCCCCCTGTACCGCCGGTGCATCCAGGGCACCTCCAAGGATCAGGCAAGCTTGGCGTGTTCTGGCAGCACCACTTCGATTGGCGGCATTGCCGGTTGCCCTTGGCTCCACCTCTTGCAGTGCGGCCCACACAGGAGCCGCAGCGCTGTGCATTGGCACAGCAGCCTCCCCTGCTCGCCGCTCCCACACCACACCACACCCTCCCTCCAGGGTCTGGTGTACCAGCACAATGCCTGTGAGAGTGACGAGGTGGAGGACCTGTCCTGCCTGCTGGCATACTGCAAGGACCGAATCCCCGGCCTGCAGGCGGTGTGCAGCGGCGCCATCGCCTCCGACTACCAGCGCACGCGGGTGGAGAACGTCTGCGCCCGCCTCGGCCTGGTGTCTCTGGCCCCGCTCTGGCACCAGCCCCAGTCCACCCTGCTGCGGAGGATGGTGCGTGGCAGGAGGCCAGTGGCTTTGTGGGGGGCGTCCTTCGGTCCACGGCGCATGCGTGGTTGATGGAGGGGTTGGACGCGGTGCGCGGCTGGTGCCGCATTGACTTGTGTGTCGGGGTCATTCACCATACGAGGCAGGTCGGCAGTGAACTTGTGTGCGCTTGTCCTGGGAGACCTGCTGCCCTCCACCGTCAAACACGTACACCTCGGACCCTTCGTCAGACACCTCTCTTCCTGCACCGGCGCCCTCCCGCAGATCGACGGCGGGGTCGAGGCCGTCCTGGTCAAGGTGGCTGCCGCGGGCCTCAGCGTGGCTCAGGACCTGGGGGCGCCCCTTGCCGAAATGGAGGAGAAGCTGCATGCCCTCAGGAGGTAGTGCACGTGGTGTTGGGGTTTAGGTGTGTGGGGTGTGTGCCATGCAGCTTCAGCGCATGCTAGTGCAACTGGGAACATGTCCATCACACATGGCTCAGGGCAGGAAGGCACTGTCTGACACTCGTGTGCCCAAGGACAGGGATGAAACTCACATTGTCCCCTTGGGATGGCCTGTCAAGGTGCACAGGCCGGTGCTCTTCGGCCACTCCTCTGGCCCGGGCGCCACGCGGCGGGCCTCCTAGTATGCTCACCTGAGACCAGCGGATCTCCAGTGGCCCGGCCACTTCCTGATTCCCCACCTCTCCCCCCCCCACCCCCCACCCCTCCCGAACAAAACACACCCGCAGAAAGTTCGGGTGCAATGTTTGCGGCGAGGGCGGGGAGTACGAGACGCTAACCCTGGACTGCCCCGCCTTCACCCGGGGCCGCATCGTGCTGGACGCCTGGGAGGCGCGCGTGTCCAGCGCCGACAGCCTGGCCCCCGTGGCAGTTCTTCACCCCACCGCCTTCCACGTCGAGCCCAAGGGGGATGCGGGGGCCGCCGGCGCTGCCTGCGCGGCGGCGCCCGTCGTCCTGGTGCCGGCGAGCTGGCGCCCGGTCGGCGCGCCCGCGACCGACCCGGTCGCCGCGGCGGCGGCTCGGGACGCCGTGCACCTCGCGAGGGACGTCTCGCTGGCCGTTCGGTGCACGGGAGGGTACCTGGCGCTGACCGTGCACGCAACGCCTCCACCACAGGGCGGCCCGGCCGCCGACGCCGCCACCCTGCACGCCTGCCTGGCAGCCGCCGGCGCCGCGCTGGAGGCGCGCTGCCCTGGCGGCTGGAGCGCGGCGCTGTATGTGCACCTCTTCGTCCCCGCCATGGCCTCCTTCGCGGCCGCCAACGCGGTGTACGGCGCGCACCTCCCCGTCGTGGCCCCGCCAGCGCGCGCCACGGTGCAGCCGCGCGGTGCCGGCCTGCTGGTGGAGGTGCTGGCGCGGGCGGGGGCGACGGCCGCCCCGGCGCCCCGCACGCTGCACGTCCAGAGCATCAGCCCCTGGGCACCCAGCTGCATCGGGCCTTACGCCCAGGCCGTGGCGCACGCCGGGCTGGTGCGTTTCGCGGGCCAGATCGGGCTCGACCCGGGGAGCATGGGAGTGGTGCGGGGCGGCCTGCGCGCACAGGCGGCGCGCTGCCTGGCCTCCTGCGTGGCGGTGGGCGTGGCGCAGGCCACGCGCCTCCACGCCGCGCTGCTCTGCGCCACGGTCTTTCTGGCGGAGGGGGCGGGGGGGCAGGGCGCTGCGGATCCGGTGCGCGTGGTGGGCGACCTTCTTGCTGGCTTCCTGGCCGACGGGCGGAGCGGGTGGGCGGAGGATGATGGTACGGCGGGCGGGGCAGAGGGCGGCGTGGGGGGCGGACCAGTGACCGGACCGACTGCCGAGGGAGGCCCCGCCTCGGCCCCTGAGGGCCGAGATGGTGGGCGACTGGTGTGCGCCTCCTCTTCTTCGTCAGCGTTGGTCGACGAGGCAGGCAGCATGATGCAGACGTGCCGCGCGTCGCTTTCAGAAGACGACAAGGATACAGGTTCGGTGCCATTGGATGCATACCTGGAGCCGCCCCAGATGCCGCGGCGGCACTGGCAGCCCCTCATCACCTACATCACCCTGCCCCAGCTTCCGCGAGGGTGGGCAGGCACATATGACGGGGTCCGACGGGTGGAAGGGGACATCAGGGGATCTGCAGTGTATGATCCCGACTTGCAACCACAGTGCTCAGGGAGCACGGAGCTGGCTCCCGCTCCCACCCCATCACTCCTTCCGCCCATCTCACAACTACAGGGTGCTGGTGGAGATTCAGCCCACTGCCCTGGACTCCGCCGTCCTGGGACCTGAGCAGGACAGCAGCAGCAGCAGCAGCTGCAGCAGCGGTGGCGAGGAGGGCGCGTCCACAAGCTGGGCTCGCCGGCTGGAGAATATGGACCTGGGTTCGGGCGGCCCCTCTGAGATCCCTGCCCTTGCAGCCTCGCAGTGCATGGCACAGGGCCTCGCCTCCCCCGGGCGCATGGCGCAGTGGCAGGTCTGGCTGCCGGCCGGCGCGCCGCTGACACGCGCCGGCGCCGAGGCCCTGGCGACCGCGGCACGGGACGGTCTGCGTCGCAGCACACTGAAGGAGAGCGACCTCGTCTGGGCGCGCATCTATGCCATCGAGGTCGGCGAAGCGGGGGTTTGGCCGGACGTGGAGCTCGCCGGGGCGGCCGTTCCCGTCATCCAGGTGGCGCGGCTGTCCTTGGCCCGGCCGAGCAACGGCCGGGGTCACGCACTGGAGGAGGCAGGGGCAGTCCTGGAGCTCTGGGCGGCAAGGGGCCTGTGAGCGACGCGGTGGAGGGAGAGCGGCGGCGATGTGCCAGTGCTGTCAAGGAGCTTTGCTGTGCTCGGATTGAGGAGACGCGCGGCACTTGGCTGACAGGACTCTGGCAACGATGCTATGTCCTGCTTCAATCAGTGCCATGTACAGCCCTGTCAGACCCCAAGACTCTGCTTCTCAAGTCGAAATCAGACATGCCCCCGTCCAGCATAATCAGTGATACCGACATCCCACCCAGCGCATGGCGCCAGGAAGGTGTGCAAGCCACGTCATATATCTACAGCAGTGCATGCAGGTGGAGATGGGGGGATTGCGGTCAAACGCTGTAAGCACACCCCCTCCGCAAGATAAGAAAGAGACTCCAAGAGGCGCTCAGGCCTCACAGCCCGCGGCGCGGCAGGCGCGGCCCAGCTCCTCAGCGCCAAGGCACTGGCTCTCGTCCACCAGCTTCCCCCTGGCGTCAAAGAGCACGCCCTCCTTCTCCAGCAGGGCGCGCTTCTTGCAGACGTTGGGGGTCTGGGGTCCCCACTGCCCGCTGAACCCTCCCAGTTCCAGGCTGGCGGCGATGACACGGTGGCACGGCACCGCGGGGGCGTAGGGGTTCCGACGCAGGGCCTGCGGGGCGCACAGAGTGCCAGGTGTCCCGCTCATTAACTCGAATAAGCTGATTTGTTGCCGGCAGGCCGACTCGGTCCTCCCAGTCCAGCACCTCAGCACTGAACCCTCACCTGGCCCACTGCCCGAGGAGCGCTCTTCAGGACGGCGGCCATGGCACCATAGGTGGACACCTTGCCCTCGGGGATGCTCTTGCACACGGCATACAGCCTCGACTCGAAGACCGTGGGCGGGCGGTTGGGCTTCACCTCCGCGACGGACACGCCACTCGGGGCGCGGGCCATCATGTCGATCAGTTTCCCTGTTCTTGACGCGCCTGCCGCCTTGCTTCCTGCTCCAATTCTCTCTGGAGCTCGGCTTCCAGATCGTAGCCGGTCCCTACCCGGCGGATGGTGTTGAAGTAAGTGGTGCCCACGAAGCCCACGAGGAGCGCACCTACGATCAAGTTGGAACGACGCCGCGCCACTTGGGTGAGCCTGGCGGTCACGCTCCCAGACATGCCTTGAGCTGATGTGTGATATGATGGAGATGGTCTGTGCAGTTGTGGGGTTTGGGGAGATCCCGCAAGGCAGGGCTCCGTGCGGTGCGTGCTGCCGCCGATCCGCGTGAGCTCGATCTGGATCAGTTCGCTCCGAAGGATGCAGTGTGATCTGCCAGCGAGGCTACACCTCACGCCATGCTGCCGGCATTGCAACACTCGATCTAAGTGAATTTCATTTCGCGATGCATAGGACTCTCTTGCCGACCCCCGCTCAGTTTACCTCTCTCTGGGGTCGCACTGCGCCGGCACTCTTCTGCACCCACCCACAAAACCAGCTCTCAGCCAGGTCGCGTCAGGACAGGAGGACCTCGAGAGCCTTCATGGGCAAAAAAGCTGATGCACCTGCCCAGGTATGTTTTTTTTCGCCCAAACGCTTCTCTGGCAACCTAGTTGCTGCTCCTCGCAAAGCGTACAGCCACCCGCAGGCCACTGACGAGGCCCTCACACATTCCACAGGCCATCACCATCATTGGAGGCGGGCGCATAGGCCAGGCCTTGGTCGACATGGGACCCGGCTCCGATGTGCGCTGCGAGGGTGGCCTCTTGGATGTCACCCCTGCCCTGTGTTGGTCGGGGTTCCTCGCATCTCAGCAGATGTCCATGGCATGTCACTACCGACCCTCTCCACCCTGCACGGCAAGTGCGCCCAGCAATCTAGCAGAAAGCACCAGACCTCCCCGCCCCATTCACGTGCCAGGTGCTGCTGAAAAGGGGCTCCAGCTTCCCCAAGGATGCGCCCTCCCCCATCATCGTCTGCACCCGCAACGACGCTCTGGAGGGCGTAATAGAAAGCGTGCCCAAGGACCGGCACGGCGGTGTGTGAGGGAACAGACCCTTGGCTCTGGCATGGTCTGGCTTGAGGTGGGGATTCCCCGCGTTCAACTTTCTGGGCGGCAGTTGCCACCCACACCTCTCTGTTAAGCCGCACCCCCTCTCCCCAGTACACACCATCACACACCCCTTTCAGACCTGGTATTCATCCAGAATGGGATGCTGCAGCCCTGGCTGGAGGGGCGGGGTCTTGCCTCCGCCACCCAGCTCCTCGTCTACTTTGCTGTGGCCAAGGCTGGTGACACTCCAGTGGATGGGAAGACCGACGTCAACCCAGAGGGGCTGACCTCGGTCTGGGGGCCTCACTCGGAGGCCGTGGCGCAGCGGCTGGCTGCAGGGGGCCTGGCCTGCAAGGTGCGTGCCAGGCTGGAACAGGGCTTGGGCGGGAGCGTGCGAGGCGCATGCGGAGTTGAGAGGGGCTGGGGAGAGGGGGAAGCTTCACGCTTCTCTCCATGCATGCGTGGGAGCAGAGCCCCGGGTCCCCGCCACGCTGCCTCCCAGGTGCTGGATCGCCCTGCCTTCCTGCAAGCCATGCTGGAGAAATTGGTCTGGATCTCGGCATTCATGCTGGTCGGAGTCACCCATGGCGGCTGCAGCGTGGGCGAGGTGGAGAGGGTGCACTCTCAACAGGTAGGTGTGGGGAGGAGGGTGTTGCTGCCACCCGCTGCAGGGGTCTCATGGGGGTGGGGGGGAGGGGAGGGGGGCCATGTGATGGCTTCCACCAGTACCAGGTAGCTGCGGCAGGGCCCCCAGGCCCCCCTGTCTGGCGAGGTCGGGGATTGGAGGTGCGGACGCGCAGCCAGGGTGGCTGCATGTCGGGCCGGACCTCGCAGCTTAGAGCTCGTCGTCAGCCGGCCCACCTGTGGCGCAAGCCCCCCCTGCCGCAGACGGCCGAGCTGGTGGAGGAGCTGGCCAGCGCCGGGGCCGCGGCGTTGGGTGTTCGGCTGGAGGCCGGCGCCTGGGAGCGACTGGCCGCCTACGCGCGCTCCGTGGCAAACTACCCGACCGCGCTCAAGGAGTTTGAGTGGCGGAATGGCTGGTTCAAGGAGCTGTCCCGGGAGGCGAGTGCCTCTGGAAAGCAAGACCCGTGCCCCATGCACACGCGCCTCTTGGCCGGGCTGGGCTACTGAGGACCAGGGCCATGGCGATGGCAATGGCTGGGCGTGGCCATTGCGAGCGTGAAATTCCTCAGCGTCCGGTTTCGGTGAGCAGGCGAGCCCTGAACCTGGGAGTGACCCTTCAGGACTGAGGCTGAAAGCACAGGCGGACCTGACTAGAGCAGCAGATCCTTGCCTGAGGGCTTGGCATGCGAGGCAGCAGCGGGGCATCGTGATGCAACTCACTCACAGCCGTGCATGCGAGCTTGCGGTGGAATGGTAGAACATGGAAGAATGAGATGCGACCGGCATCAAGCTGGTGATGCCTGCCTCCCATGCAAAAGCCACAGATACTAAGAGTGTGGTGCACGAGCAGACGAGCATGCTCCGCCCGTGCGTAGTGAAGAAAGCGGACATTGGGTGGGTGTCTACCTCAATCGCCAACTGCTCTGGCAAGCTCTCAGGCATGGTGAGCCTGCTGCTTACAAGGACTATGGGTGTCTACAATCTCTGAACCGTGGCCCAGCCAGTGCTGCATGCCACCAGACCCCTCACAGTCGACCCCCGGTTTCGGCTGAGGTGCAAATTCCTGGTTCTGATGTCACTGCAGGATGGTCTCAGGCGAGAGCATGATCACGCGTCAACAGTACTATATGCCGCAGTTTGTGAGGCCTTGGCATCAAACACGGAGCTGCAAGGGCATCAGAGGAAGTGCAAGATCTGGCCTTGCATGTCCTGAAGCGGTACATGAACGGAGGACCCTCAGGGCAGTGTCCGCACAGAGTCCACCGCTCAACCATGCGTGAGCTCACCCAGTAGCCCTCCCCTGCATCGGGCTCAGTGCGCCACAACTCTCTGCCCGTGCTCCCAAACCTACATTCCCGCTGCGGCGGCCATAAGGTTCTGCACACGACGCCTGGGGCCTGGGGGGGGCTATGCCATAGCACCCCCATGCTGACCCAATTCTCAGCGGTTGGGCGGGGGTGCCAATGTCTAAAGGGTCGAGCATGTACTTTACAGGACTCAGCTGGTCCACTAGCAGGCAATGGGAACCCCCAGCCCCATCCAAGGAACCCATGCATCCAGCATGCTACGAACACTGCTGCCTACATCATTCCAGTGGATACACAGACGGTTGGTGTTGCACCAAAGGGGGAAATGGCAGCTTGGATGCACCCCGTGGAGATGGTGCATCAATGCTTGTACGTATTGGGGAACATGCAATTGCTTGGGTATCGAGAGACTAGGCAGAAAGTTGGGGAGCAGGGACAGGATTGATTCTTACGGCACCGTCTGCCCAGATGATCTGATTGGACAGCGTGCGTCCCATGGCGGTGACCGTCCCCCTGCCGTAGTCTGCTGGGAGAGTGGCCTCGCACCTTGCGTGGAGACCAGCCGGGATGCATTTGAGGGACATGTCTGGTCGGAGATCCTCCTGGAAGGTCACCCAGATGTTCTTCAGCAGCAGCACCGTAGTGAGGAACACCTGGCACCTGGACCGCTCGTCGCCGATGTCGTAGCAGTACGCTCCGTCGATGACAATCTGCCCTGAGGGCGGAGGAGGCGCGAGTTGCCCTGGGGCCAGCACCGGTGCCGGAGGAGGGGGTGGGCTCGCTGGGGCGGGCGGGTTTGCATCGGACTTCAGCCGCAGCGTTTGAGGTGTCCTCAGCATCTCCAGGACGCACGCGCCTTCCCCCTGAACCAAGTTGTGGCAGAACAGGTTGTCGCCATGGTTGTTGTTGCCCACATTCTTGGTTCCATTATTGTAGTTGCCTGGGGTGGGGAAGGGGGGCGAGGGGTAGAGGTCACCAGTGGGCCTGAGCAGACAGCCGGCGCAGGCAAGCATACTGGTGCTGGCGAGGGAGCAGGGGCCCGTGGACTCATGGGGCCTCCTCGATGGAAACAGAACAGGTGCAGGCTACTTTTGAACGTCATGCTGGACCTGGCCTGCACCCCTGCACGCACCAAAGTTCTCATTCCCAAGGTTCGCGTTGCCCTTGTTGTAGCGCCCCGTGTTGTTCAGGCCCTTGTTGTAGCGGGCATCCCATTCGCACTCGTGCTGCTCATGTGGGATGCACTCGACCAGGAGGAGCATGTCGCAGGCACCGTCGCAGGCGGCCATGCTGGCTATGTCCAGGATGTGGATGTCCACTCCGGGAAGACGCCCGGGCAGCTCGACCTGGGTGTCCCTCAGGACCGTCGTTACCGCCTTCGGGAAGCCTTTTGCTCTTTGAAGGGGGATTGTGGTGACCGGGCATGTCCTGACACCTTGGTCCTTGTCGCTTTTATGGAAAGGCGTACCATGAACCTACACCCTTTCTCTCAATTGGAGAGCTGGCCATGATGCCCCTTCCCTACATCGCAACTCACCTGCAAAAAGCTGGACCGCTCGTCTCCGAGACGAAGAAGAGCTCACCATCCACACTTGGAAAGGAGTGAGGAGGGATCCCGTATGACTAAAGTTCAGAAGGGCCTGTCATGTGGTGTCATGCAAGTAGGAGGCGGACCCTCCACCCTGCGCTTATACTGCACACCTTGCGGTTGGCAGGGCGATGAAGGTGGAGTTGCACTCCGTCTGCAGGTGATCGAGGCAGTGAGGGTGAGGAATTTGATTGGGTAGCTCGGCATGCGTTGCACAGTTGTCAAAAACCGCCGGACAGCACCCAGACACGTTGGACCTAGTGCATCGGGGACACTCACCGCAGCCAAGGACAATGAGCTCATGGCCGACACCATAAGTGCGATGATGACCAGCGAACGCATCGTGAGAAGATCTCGCGACTTTGATCAAGCTGCGCGCAAGTTGCGCTGTTGTAAGCAGGGGTGCTTAACTTCAGTTTGTCGATGTCCCCCTTTAATGTGTTACAAAATTGCTGAAAATTAACTATTGGGAGTGCTCCTGAGGTTCTGGTGAGGCACTCGTAGTCTGGAGGCTCGTGCTTGCCAAGTGGAGGCTTGCCCGTGCGGTTTTCCTTTGGGTCGCGGCTCTCCCGGTTTGGGACACCTGTCGCTCGCTCCATGTTTCGTGGTTGAGGGGTCAAGAAAAGGATCTGAATCACCTGACAACATAACTAGTCCGTCCTACCGTGCGTTGTTGTAGGTAGGAACCTGTTGCTGGGTTTTGTGCAGGTTTGTTGTAAGCTTGCGGCTTCCACCGTATGATCCTTCGATCCTTCTGCAGTCGAGACACTGCCCACCCACCCCTAGCTGCAACTCTCTTTGACACCCAATACAACATCCACTTCCCTCTTCTTGGCTGTGCGATGTCCCGCGTCCGTAGTGTCGCGGGTTGAACCCGCGCTGTGGATCTTGCTGCGAGTTGGCCATGATACATCCCAATATCTGAGTCAATGACCTGTGAGCCACCCATCGAAGAAGCCGTCAACTGGCCGCCCTGACTCACCTAACCTTTCCTTTATTTTCAAGAGAAGTAATTCGTTTTCTTTGCGAATTGGGGAGAGGGGAACCCTTTTCCCATCAAAGGAGGTACATCAATCTTCACAGGGTGGGGCCAGAAGTGCTTGCTTCAATGTGGGAGACAGTCCATCATCTTGCAGGTAGCTTCTAAGCATCCCTTGTAGATGCCTTCTGGGGATGTGCTCATCCCACAATTGGGGATGCGCATCGTTCTCAGCATGCATGGAACATCGGTTTGTTCTGGAACCCCCCAGCAGAGGTCTTGAGGGCAGCACGATTCCCCAAATCATCTCCCTCATTCATGTCAAGTATTAAAAGAGGATGCACGGTCCCTTACGCCTCTAGCCACATGCCTGCATGATGGGGAGCACCGGCCTGAGGGCATCAACTCTGAGAGTAGGGGCACGAAGCATATCAGACAGGGACATGCAAACTAGGATCCCCGTTTCTTGAAATTGAACCCCCCCCCCTCTATTTCAATGGTACAGGCTACATCAGCGCAGGCCTGTTCCCTTTGTCAACGAATATTCCTTCGTCCTCGCTGCTGCCCCTCTACACCCTTCCCTTGCTCAGCTCACGGAAGTCCAGCGCAAGGTCCACCATCCACAGCTAACCCTCGCAGGGCCTGTGCATGATGTCACTGCAAGCAACCCGTGGCCAGATCAGAAACCGCCACTCCGCCAGGTGCAGGCTGCTTCCAGCCCATGCAGGGGCAGAGGAGTGCGCTGCATGGCCAACATCTGGACGTGGATCCGGCACCATATTGCCGCTGCAGCTGTTCTTCGAGCGCCCCAGGGCGCATGAGCTGCCCATGTGTTTGCACTCCCAACAGCCCGTCTTTGCATCGGACTCAGGGTCTCACAGATCTCGACCCGTGCTCTCGCACTGACATTTACGCTGCAGAGGCCAAGAAAGTGGTGCAGACGGCTCCTGGTGGCATGCAGATATTGCAGTGCGTCCCCAAGACTGGCCTCCTGAGGGCAGTTGGACTGTGGTGCCGACGTTCAAGAGGATGGGCATGACATGCAGGGGAGTGCATGTGTCACGTGGCTTGTCGAGTGGAGTTCCAGCCTCACCCCCAGCACTAATATATTCAGCATGTTACAGGCAACATTGCTGCTCATGGCATTTCAGCAAGAATAGGGGCTGAGTGAGACTGTATCAAGAAAGGGAGTGACTTTATGTGGTGCTGCAGAAGTGCATGTACGTATTGGTCATGTCAAACCGTCGTTCATGGTTCTAGGCGGTGGAGGGGGGAGCAGGTGCACGGGTGATGTGGATGGCATTGTCAGCGTGGATGTATTGGTTGGACAGCGTTTGCCCCGCCGCGATCACCCTGCCGTCGCTGTAGTCACCCCAGGTCATGGCCTCGCACTTGATGTTCAGACCCACAGGGAGGCACGTGCCGTACGCATCCGGCCGGTCACCGTCCTGGAAGGTCAGCTGGATGTTTTTCATCGGCTGTGCGGCGGTGACGTACACCTGGTACCCGGTCTGCTTGTCGTTGAGCTTGTAGCTGATGGCGCTGGCGATGACCAGGTCATGTGAGGGTGGGGGGGGTGCCATCTGGCCTGGGGGCAGGACTGGCGCCGGCGAGATCTTGGGTGCCGGGGGCGCCGGGGGGTTGGGGTCGGTCTTCAGCTCCACCGTGTCCGCCGTCCTCAGCATGTCCAGGGAGCACTTCTCGTTGTCCTGGCGCAGGTTGTGGCAGAACCTCTTGGAGCCAACGTTGTTGTTGCCAACATTACCGTCGCCGACGTTGTTGGAGCCTGGGATGGGGGTGGGGCGAGGGACAGGGTGAGTAGCAGGCCTGGATTGGCAGAGGGGGCGCTGGCAGACAGACTGGCCCTTGGGAGTGTGAAGGGGGCATGGTGGCTGAGGCCTTCACAGGGAACACCAGGGAGAGAGCAAGCCACCCGGCAAACTGGAGTCGGCGCGCCCATCTGCACCACAGCACGCACCGAGGTTGTGCTCCCCGACGTTGTTGTTGCCAGTGTTGCGCATGCCCTTGTTGTTGTTGCCGACGTTGAGCTTGCCGTCACGGTTGCAGTTGTCCTCCCCCTCCGGGACACACTCGACGAGGAGGGCCAGGTCGCACTTGCCATCGCAGATGGTCATGGATGCAATGTCAAGGATGTGGATGTCCAGGCCATTGAGATACTTGGGCAGCTGATCGGGGGTGTCGAACAAGGATGTAACCACTCCCCTCGGGAAGCCTCTCATGCTGTGGATGGGGAGCGGAGGGGTTGGGCCTGTCACGGTATGGGTGCAGTTATTGGTGCAGGTGCATGCCTTGGGATCGTATCTCCCAGCAATGGTGAGTGTGAGCCACGGGGCGTCCCTCCCGCTCAATGTCTCACCGGCAGAATGCTGGGCCGCTTTTCTCCGAGATCAAGTACAGCTCACCATCCACACTGCGAGGGGTTTGAGGAGTTCGATGTTACTTTGTAGGCAGGGAGGGCTTGAAACCAGGATCCTTACAGGTGCATGGTGGGCCTGCACGTTCTGCTTCCATCGCATACCTCGCGGTGGGTAGGCTGAAGAACGAAGACTTGCATTCGGCCTGCATGGCAACGGTGCGAAGCCCATGAGCGAGGAAAAGGACACTGGGCATGCCTGTACGGTTGACCACTGCTCCGGGCGACACCCGGACATCCTCCGGCTCAATGCGTCGCGGAAACTCACCGCAGCCAGGGAGACTGAGCAAAGCGCCAGCAAGAAGGCAGAGAGGAATATAGCCGCACGCATGATATTTCAATTGGGTGATGAAGTTGATGCTGGAATGAGCAGGTGTGTTACTGCGGTGAGACGAGGTGCCTCGGGAACCAGTGGCGACGATGAACTCCTATCGGGCAAAACAGAACACACAGGGTGTTGATGCCCAGCGATATGATTTGAGTATCAGAGGATGAGTTCGAGGAGTCGTGATGCTTGAAATGGGCTGATGAGTGAAGGTTATATTCAAGTACGTTTGCCCGCGGCCCGGAGACCGCGGGTCCGGCGACCGCCTACCTTGAGAGAGGTGCGGTGCCACGTTTTCCTGACCGGGCGAGGTCTGGCTCGAGGAGACCCAGTGCGGTCATCCCGGGACAATGCTAACCGCCTAGTCTGGAGCAACCTCAGCCGACGCATGTGGTGCAAGGAATGAGATGCAAATTGTCGTTGGATGGCCTTGCGAGGGCCCCGGTCAGGCCGGACCTACAAGCCGCACTTCACGAGGCCTTGCTGTGGCCAGTCGGGGTTGCAAAAACATCGCACGAGGCAGGTTTTTCTGTTAAAAATCATACAATCGGTATCGCATCGATCATAAGGGCGATATAACGCGGGCGTCACACATCGGTCCTGCCCGGTGTCCCACACTGGGCCCCTGAGAGCCGCCGAGGACTCCTCTCATCCTTAGCCTCCCCAGGCCCCAGATGCCTCCCCCCCACACTGCTCGCCTAGATTCTTGCCTAGATGTTAACAAACAATGGTACTCACAGCAATGTCAAGGTCATCCTGGCTTTCATCTGCCTGCTGGAGCAGTCTGTCGCCTCTTGACACTCTCCCTCTCGAGATGGGTTCAAACACGGCATGCTCTGCGGTTGACGTGCCGCTCCTGAGAGCTGGTCTCGACCTTCCAAGCGAAGATCACAAGCGGTGCAGCTTCTGTCAGGGTCTTGTTTACTGGGTCGCGCTCCTCCCAGCGTCCCCTTCCCTTGATGAGGGAGATCGCAGTCGTCGGTGTCTGGAATGCTTACCTGAGCCCCTGCTGACCCTCTGGTGATGGGGGAGGATTGCCTGGGATGTCGCGCAGAGGCAGTGGTGGTGTGCTGTCACTGTCTACAAGGGGTAAAGCAGTGGCACTCCTTGGGTCTCAGGCTCCATGCATGTCCAAGCCAGATCAGGAGAGGCAGCAAGGGGCGGGTCAGATCTGGGTGGCTCCTGTGTCCCATGCATTACGGATGACACGGCTGCTGACATTAAGGCATAGGAGGTGGAGTAGATTGGTCACACACCAGAAATGGTGTAGGATCATCGAGTGCCCTTGAAAGAGCTACAGGAGCGCATGTATGCATTGGACACAAAGTCAGAGTGCCGTGGTTCTAGGCAGGAGGAGGGGGCGCAGGGACACTGGTGATGCGGATGGCGTTGTCGGCCTGAAGGACTTGATTGGACAGCGTGTGCCCCATGGCGTTGACCTTCCCGCTGCTGTAGTCACCCCAGGTCATGGCCTCGCACTTGATGTTCAGACCCACAGGGAGGCACGCAGCATACGCGTCCGGCCTGATATCGTCCTGGAAGGTCAGCTCGAGGTCCTTCAGTGCCTGTGCCGTCGTGAGGAGCACCTGGCACCTGGACTGCCTGTCGTTGGCCTTGAAGCACGAGGCGCTGGTGATGACCAGCGCGTGCGAGGGTGGGGGGGGTGCTGTCTGGCCTGGGGAGAGCTTTGGAGTTGGTGGAGATGGTGAGCTCTCGGGGGCAGGTGGGGTGGGGTCGGTCTTCAGCTCCAGAGTGTCTGCAGTCCTCAGCATGTCCAGAGTGCACCTGTCTCCATCCCGGCGCAGGTTGTGGCAGAACCTCTTGGTGCCAACATTGTTGTTGCCAACATTCTTGTCTCCGACATTGTTGGAGCCTGAGGGGTGGTGTGGTGGGGAGGCACAGGTGAGGGGGGGCGCGCAGTGCATCTGACAGGGCAAGGGCGGAGGCAAGCAGGCTGTCCCTCGGGAGAGCAGGGAGCATTGTGGGGAAGGGCTTCACAGCAGGGGTGAGGGGGTTGGCAGGCGGCCCTGTGATTTTGGAGAGTGTGAGCCCTCCCTGCATCACAGCGCGCACCAAGATTGTGTTGTCCGACATTGTTGTTGCCCTCATTGCTCATTCCCGTGTTGTTGTTGCCAATGTTGAGCTTGCCGTCAAAGCCGCAGTTGTCCTCCCCCTTGGGGACACACTCGACGCCGAGGGCCAGGTCGCAGGTGCCATCGCAGATGCTCATGGCAGCGATGTCAAGGATATGGATGTCCAAGCCATTGAGATGCTTGGGCAGCTGATCGGGGGTGTCAGGCAGGGATGTAACGACTCCCCTCGGGAAGCCCTTCATGCTGTGAATGGAGAGCGGAGGGGTTGGGCCTGGCACTGTCTGGGAACAGTAATTAGTGCAGCTGCATTCTGAAAGCTTGTAGTCTTTCACTCGGGGGAATGTGTGAGCCACGGGGCGCCCCTCCCGCTCAATGTCTCACCGGCAGAATGCTGGGCCGCTCTTCTCCGAGATCAAGAACAGCTGACCATCCACACTGCGAGAGGGGTACAGAGATTGATGTTACCATACAGTCAGGGAGGGCTTGCAAACAGAATCCATGCAGGGACATGGTGGCCCTGCACGTTCTGTTTCCATCGCACACCTCGCGGTGGGTAGGCTGAAGAATGAAGACTTGCATTCGGCCTGCATTGCAATGATGCGAAGCCCGTGAGCGAGGAAGCAAGGAGACTGGTCATACCAGTACGATTGCCCACTGCTCCGGGCGGCACCCGGACATCCCTAGAGTTCGCCAGACGACTTACCGCAGCCAGGGAGACTGGGCCAATCGCCAGCAACAAGGCAGAGAGGACTATAGTCGCACGCATGCTATTTCAAGTGGGAGATTAAGCGGATTGGAACGCACGAGTGTTTCAGTGAGGTGAGGCGATATCCCTCGGGAACCTATGGCAAAGATAAGTTTCTTTCCAGTGAGGCCAAACACACAAGGGGTTGTTGTTCATAAATCCTGATGCGAATCAAACGAAGTAGACACGTTGATTTATGATGTTGGAAGGGGGTCAGTGAATGAAGGATAGCCTCCGTTCCTCGCGAGATCGCGCGTCCATCGTTCAGAATGCGGTACGGTGCCACGTTTTCCCGACAGTAAACACCCTCCGGTCAGGAGTCCCTGCAACGTGTCAAGACACATGCTTGCTGCATTCTTGCAGGATGCATTCCCAAAATGATTTCTCCCATGAAGATCTACGCCTTTCCCTGCCTTCCACCCCGTGCCGAGCAGGCATTGACAGGCTGATCTTGGCGGCCACATTGTGTTTGCCCTGTGTCCCCCATAGTTCGGACCAGTAGCTGGTCCGCTTCAATTTGAGCGTCGCGAATTGGGTGCTTGATAACTACAAATCGACCCCTTGGTATCGTTCGGCTGCAATGTGGAGTTCATCAAGCGATTGCAAGAGTCGACGTCCGAGATGTAGACCGGTCGTGCCACATGGTGCTTAGTCGTGAAGATTAAGCTGCATCAAAAGCAGGTAAAGAAGATCCAGTTCTATCAGGCTGAGTACAGCTCGTGTCGAGACATGCGTCGCCACATAGTAGCCTAGTCTTGGCATGGATGCTTCAAACCCACCAGGCGGAAGCACCAGGCACCCTGCTTTGTGACCTGTTGACTCCAACTTGACGTTGACATTCCTCGCGTTCCTTTACGTGCACCACCCGCCCTCTACCATGCATACCCATCATGAAAAGCTCGTGCCCAGGTCCTTCAACTGTACAGGAAGGAAGCTAGGCCAGCCGAACAAGGCGCGAGCGTTAGCCACACTTCATTGTGCGCTTAGCCCGGTCCAGGGGCTGAAAGTGGAAGGGACGGTGGCATGTAGGGGACTGGCTGTGGGCAAGCGTTCCCATAAGCATGGGGTTTCAAAATCTAAGACGCTTTCATGTCAGGATGGGTTGTCTGTTTGCATCCCAGACATCTGTCAACTGTGACTCTCTCAACCAGGGACTTGAATGAGAGGTCCACATCCCATTAGCGACCCTTGTATGATTGTAGCATAAGCGGCTGGACCACCCATGTCCACGATACCGACGAGCATCTGGCGTACGACAGCCATGGGAGGGATCCGACCCCGGGCTACCGGTGCACGGAACAGCTGGACGTACTCCCCACGATACCATATGTTCGCGCTCCACACGGTCATTTATGGGCCATGCGCCCGTGCTGTGCGCGCCTCCAGGGGTGTCGGCCCGCCCCACCATGCCACCAAGTGTCCCCTCCCCGACCCTGCGGGCATGTGCCTGACGGGCGCCCCGCGCCGAGCGTGCTCGGGAGCAGGCATGGCAGGCTGGCACCGCCACTCATGCGGCCACAAGGGGAGCGTCGAGGCCTGCCCGCCCCAGCACTGGCTGTGTCCAGCGGCACCCTCCTGGGCGGCAGCACATGGGGTGCGGTGGCAGCTCGTCCCATGCGCCTGCTTGGTTTCTGGCATCACCCACGCGCCACACCCCACTCCTAGACTCTCCTCTCACAACCCCCTTATCTTCCCTTTCCATCCCCGCCCCCCAAACCCTTCCCAGCACCATTGTCCCCCCTCGCCACAGGCATGTGGAGCGCGCTGTCCGCCATCGGCGCTGCGTCGCTGTGGGCGGAGGGCACTCCCTGGGGCGCGACCCTGACCGCCCCCCTCATGGCCACGCTGGCAGGACTGCTGTGCAGCGCGACGCGCGTGCTGCCCTCCCACTCCCCCGCCGTGTACGGCACGGTGAACGGCTACCTCCTACCCCTGGCCATCCCGCTGCTCCTGTTTGGCGCAGACCTGCGCTGCATCCTGCGCGACACCGGCCGCCTGCTGGTCGTGTTCCTGGGCGGGTCGGTGGCCACCATCGCCGGCGGCCTGCTGGCCTACGCGCTGTGCCCGCTGCGCGCCCTGGGACGCGACGGCCCGCTGGCCGCCGCCGCGCTGACCGCGCGCCACATCGGCGGCAGCGTCAACTACGTGGCCGTGGCGGAGATGGTGGGCATGGCCCCTGCCACGCGCGCCGCGGCGCTGGCCGCCGACGACCTGGTGGTCACGCTCTACTTCCTGGCCATCTACGCACTGGCGCGGCGCGCGCCGCCGGAGCCGGCGGCGCGCAACGCCGCCGGCGACGCGCTGCCCTCCCCCCGCGCCGCCGAGCGCGCGGCGCACCCCGTGACGCTCAAGGGCGCGGCCACTGCGCTGGCCGCGGCGTGCGCGCTGTGCTACGCCGGCAGCGCGGCGGCCGCGGCGGCGGGCCGACATGGCGCCGCCATCCCGGCCATCACGCTGCTATCGGTGGCGGCGGCCACCGCCGCGCCGCGCGCGCTGCGCGCGCTGGTGCACCCGGGGGAGGTCCTGGCCGGCCTACTCATGCAGATCTTCTTCGCCGCTGTCGGCGCCAGCGGCGACGTGGCGGCTGTGGCGGCCGCCGGCCCGGCCCTGCTCGCCTGGTCCGCTGTTAGCGTCGCCGCGCACATGGCGGGGGTCCTGCTGCTGGAGCGCACCGCGGGGTTTAGCCGCAAGGAGACGGTGCTGGCTAGCAACGCCAATGTGGGCGGGCCCACCACTGCTGCCGCCATGGCCGCGGCCAAGGGCTGGCCCTCCGCAGTGCTGCCGGCGCTGCTGGTGGGCATCTTCGGCTATGCCATCGCCACCTTCATCGGTCTGGGCATGGTGGTGGTGTACGCCCGCATGTGAGCCCCAGCCAGCAATTGTTTAAGAGGAAGGGAGGGTCCATCGGGAAGGGCACGCTGACGACGCCCATCCCCCCTCCTTACCCAACCCCGCCACAAGACTGTCGTGCTACCTTGAAGTAAGACGGGCCTGGAGATACTAAATACAGATCAGTGCAGCACGCGCAGTCAGGTATGGAGAGTAGAGTGCGGGAAGAGCGGAGCAGGAGCGGGCAGTTCTGACCCTGTGGGCGACATGTTGAGTTCCCATGCGAGGCAGTGCTGTCAAGGTGGGTGCACGTCGGGTCAAGGCTCCGGGGTGGGCAGGCGTACGTTCGGCTGCCCCCTGAACGTCCATCCCCTGACCGGGACCACGGCGGGGGCCGGCGGCCACCCTCCACAAAGTGCGCAGCTCGCGGGGCGCGGGCCGTGCGTCAGGCCACGGCACGGCCGTCGCCGTGCTCGGCGGCCCAGTCCGACATGGCCAGCCGCCAGGCGGCAAAGGACTCCTGCCACGCGGCGTACTGGCCCTGCCACTCCTCATGCGCCCGCGCGCGGGGGCTGCCCTGCGTCGCGGCCGGGTCCGAGCCCGCCCCTGCGGCCCCGTGCGACGGCGGACTGCCCCCGCTCGCCGCTCCAGGCACGGGCGTCGAGGGCCCCGCGGGTGCCGGGGCGTCCTCGCCGCCGAGCCGGATGGCATCTTGCGCCGGCTCCGCGTCGGCCAGGCCCCAGACCACGCCGGCGGGCACCTCGGAGTCTGGCCGCGCCGCCTCGCTCCCCCCCCGCGGCGCGCCCCGCCCAGCCTCCGCCAGCCAGGCGTCCCGGAAGCTGGGGCTGAGCGCGGTGTCCTGCGCCGCCGCGACGCCCTGCCCCACCGGCGCCGAGCTGGCGCGCAGGAGCAGGGCCCGCGCCGCGCAGACGCGCGCGCGCACGCTGTCCTCCTCGGAGGAGCTCAACTCGTCGTCCGAGGTGGAGGCCCAGCTGTCGGCGTCGTCGTCGACGCCGCCCCTCGCACGGTGGCGCGGGCTGGGGCGGGGGGGCTTGGGCGTCCAGCGCGCTGCCGCGGCGGGCGCGGCAGGGAGGGGGATGTCCGCCGCGGCGGACTTGGAGGGGGACCACCGGGGGCTGGGGCTGGACGACCCCAGTCTTGCCTGCGGGCTGACGTGCGGGGTGGGGCCAGGGCTGGACGACCCCAGTCTTGCCTGCGGGCTGACCTGCGGGGTGGGGCCAGTGAGGAGGCCGAGGTTGAGGGGGCGGGGAGGCAGGGGAGGGGCGGGGGTCAGTGAAGCGCAGCCCGGCGAGGTGCCCCGCACTCAAAAAACCTGACACAGGCACGATACATGCACCACTGGGGCTTGACACTCTAAAATAGCGCACACGGGGCGGATGCTCGCAGCGCAGCCAGGACGGCATTCGGCAAGTGGAGCCCCCCGATCACAGCGTGATGATCCCAGCCCGACATCCACGACCCAGGCACTCACGCGCGGCACCACGACCTCCTTCCGCTCGGGCCCGGGGGGAGGGAGGCTGGCTGCTCGCTGAGGGGCTGGCAGGACCATGGCAGCCGACAGGGAGCTGGCATGCTGGCCCCTTGGCACGGCCCTGGTTATGCCGGTGGACTGCGGGGAGGGACGGTGGGCAGTTATGGTCAGACTCCGGTGAAAGATGTGCGGCCCTGGGATGCGGGCGCCAATCCCGGACCCACCATGATGGGGAAGCTGAGGCCCGCCGGGGCCGTCGCTTGAGGGGAGCTGTCCGGGGCAGACGGAAGGTTGGCGGTGGAGGGGGCATCAAAGGGGCTGGCGCCCTTTGCAAGAAGCATGAGGGGCCGGGGCGGGCAGGGAGGGAGTCCCCTCCACCACCCCAGGGTGCGCCTATCAGTATTCTTTGTGGGTGCCGGCTCTCCCGGTGCAGCCCAATGCTGCCGCCCCGCGCCGTGATGGGCCACCCAAGTCCAAGCAAACAAATATGAGTTCTTCCTGCTTGTTTACGGGCACCTAATGAAGCGCCGGGAGTAACAAACATTGCGCGCGCCAGGGGTAGATCACGCGGGGGCATGACGCCATCCAACCCGACCGTCAGATTCCTCCCCAAGCCAGCACCGAGCTCCAGCAGGGTCAGTCCCAACTCTATGTACAGACGATCTTTGCACGGCAGAAACACGTATCATGACCCCTCATCATTGGGTCTGACAAGCTATCGTCCCCATTCTACATTGCCCGATTCCAAACATGGCGTTATACACCTTTCAATGAGTATATTAGCCCTTGAAGCTCTTCACTTTGTCGCCCCACTCCTGAATCACCAGTCCGTCCTCATACTTTGTATTCTTCCAGCTCTGGCGATTCTGCATGGCCCCAGCGTATTCGCCAATCGCGGGGAAGGCAGTGTACACATCCCAGTCCTAGAGCATGGACGGGGGAGAGATTGGACACCATCCCAACAACCTAGACACCTCAGACCTGACGCCAGACCCTGCATCAACAGCCTGTTGTCGCACCTTAAACTGCTTGGTGACCAGCTGGACATGGTGGATTTTTGGAGCCAGCTCAAGGTCGTTGGGTCCTACCGACTTGCCATGAATGTAGGGCTTGTGGCTCTGCAAGCCATGGTATACAAAATCCATTGATGAACCAACGACTGCTGTCAGTGAACGAGTCACCGACTGTACAGTGCACCGAGGGGTGTGCACTGTCCAAATCCACTGCCCCTCCCTGTTTCCCACATCTGCACCCCCCCCTGCCTGTAGGAAGGTGTCAATCTCCTGCAGCTTGGTCCTGAGATATGATCGCTTCTCCTTCTCTTCAGCCTTGTCAAAGCTCTGCAAGTAACTCACAAAAGCTGGGAAGAGGCCCTCACCCCTGCAGTGTGGAGGGGACGGCTGATTTCAACAGCAATGCCTCCCAGCCAGTTGCCGGCATGATTTGCAATCTCTGCCAGAGTCCCTGCGTTCTTTACCAGAGTCCCAACCTCCTCGACATTAATCTTTCTCTAGCAACAACTCACACGTTCTTGCTGTCGCCGGACTTTCCAAGAGGGGGCTCAGGGATCTCGTCCTCGATGTAGTCCACAATGGCTGCTGAATCTGCAATCCATTTATTGGAGTTCAGGTCCTTTACAGCAGGCACCTTCTTCTCAGGATGAGCCTCGCTCAACCTGCACAGCTTGGAAGCTAGGAGTTGGCCGGCGCTCTGATGAAAGAAACACCCCTAATGCCCAGGGGAAACAATCTTCAAGCCCCTAGAGACCTGCTCATCACAGAGCTCTACATACCACTCCGGCTTGTCATGGGTGTTGACGTAGTGCTTGACATACGGAATTTGCTTCTCTTCCAGAGTCAACAGCACTCGATGTGTGAAGGGGCCTGCGCGCGAGCAGGGAAGCCTACCCTGAGATCCTGGTCGATGATCCGATTGCCCCAACAGCATACATACGCTCTGACAGGTGTCCACTTGAACAATTGTTACCCAAACTCACAGTCGCCGAGTTTGCCCTCGAATGAGCTCTTCGCCCCATCCTTGGGCAGCCCCTTGACGGCAACCTCGAATCGCTCCTTGCCGGCCATGGCCTTGGCTGCAACCGTCAAGAACTGCCTCCTTGAACTCAGCAAGGGAGATGGCGTCGGGCGGACGGAGGCGTGGATGTTCAGCATCGGCCTCATAATGTCGGAACTGGGTGGACTGGCAGGACCGAATCGAGCACCGGAATGTGCTTGCACAATGGGAAAAGCTTCGTGGAATCACACACTATCGCGAAGCTGCCTGTCCCTCCCTCAGCCCAACCTCCTTCGCATCATGAAGTGGATATGACATGACTTCTCCATGGAGAAACTCGAAAGTCTTTGGGCGAGTCGGTCGGTTTCGTGGGTGGATACCGATCATTTTGTCCATCCCACTGCAAGCACCATCACGTGGAGTGAGCATGCTGCAGAGCATGAAATTGCAGTGCAATCAAGGCCTTGGCATCCTCGGCACTCAACTGATTCAACAGAGGCTTGCGCCAGCCGGGAACCCCTGCAAGATCAGGCTTGGATCCGGGGAGTGCCCCATCCGCCACCCGCCCCCAGCCGCGCATGGCGGCAGCCTCTTCAGTCCGTGATGATGTCCGACGCCAGCTTCTTGATGCTCTCGCCCATGGCCTTGTCGGCCGCCGCCTTGCACTCCGCCTGCACGGTAGCCGGGTCCACCTTGGTCACGCTCACCCGCCTCGCCTGCGGCTCCCTGTTGGGCTGAATGCCCCGCAGCCGCCGCGTCAGGCTCACCAGGCTGGCCCAGGGGTGCGATCCCCGGCGCAGGGTGTGCGCAAACAGGGGCCGCGCTCCCCCCAGGCCCCCGCAGCAGGGGCAGGAGGTGAAGCGGCGGCCCAGGCAGAGGGGGCAGGGCTCCTCGTGGGACATCTTGCCCTCCCACCCCACCACGCCGCGCCCGTCGCACAGCTTGCACCTGCTGGTGTGGGGCGGGGTGGCTGGCCTGAAGGGCGGACCGGCTGGGCGTGCCCGGCGCAGGGTGCAAGCCTGCCCATCGGGGGTGTGCGATCGGGGGGGTGCAGGCTCATGCTGCCGCCGCGGGGTCATTCCCGCACACCCTGGCACCCAGCCTCACTCCGTACACGTGCCTCTGGATGCCAAACCCCTTGCAGGCCCGGCAGCTGTGGACTGCCTTCCAACGCGCTCGCAGGATCGCCGCGATGATGGCGGCGATGAGCAGGGCCAGCCACAACTACATCACGCGAGGCGGAGGGTGGTGTTGGACGACACACTCCCTTCCTGCTGAATGAAAGTCTTTGAGATGGACTCCTGGCCACACATGCCCCAAGGCTCAGCGACTTGTGCCCATTGTCGAGGGTCGGGGACAGGCCTCTTGGCATGGAGGCTTCCCGGTACGTGGAGGGCCAGCCATGCCACACCAGGCCCCAGCAAGACCTCCCCACCCACCTCCCAATTCTTCCTTTCCCAACCACAACGCTTCTCACTGGGAGCAGGGACGGTGACAGAAGGCTGGGTCCAGATCTCCTGAGGGAGGGCCCCGCTGAGGTGCGCAAAGCCAGGGTGAAGGGGACGCTGGCGAGGGTGGGCGCAGCAGCCCAGTCCTGCAGCGTACCGGTCCTCAGCCTCCGCATCAGCGCTCCGATCCGCTGAAGGAACTTATCATCCAGGCAGCGACCGCATGGCTGGGGTGCAGTGGGCCCCAGGGACCACGGGGGAAATGATCCTGCGACGGCGGCAAAGGGGAACCACCGGGCCCTCCAGCGCCCCTGTGATGTGGTGCGGACTTGCAGGGTGGAAGAGCCAGATCTGAATGAAATGGGGCAGCTATGCTGGGGGTGTATCAGGCATGACGACCCGGGCATGGAATGCTCCGAGAACTGGAAGGAAGCTTGGTTCCGTCAACTGCGCCACGAATCCATCAGGCACAGTGCGACGGTCATGAGCGGGCTGGAAATGAGAGAATGCCAGGTCAATGGATAACTCCAGTGAGCCGTATCCCTGTTGAAGCCTGCGGGCCTCATGCCTGGGAGCTCAAGTACGGTGCGGTGTGTGCGTCCATGTGGCCCGAAGCCTGCTGCTTCCCGCCTTTCTCGCGTCGCTCCTTATCTTGGCACCTTCAGTGTTGCAAGCTTGGAAGCACATCTGGAAAAGTGGGCCACCACCACTCTCCTCAACTTCAACTTGAGGAAGACCTCAAACATGTTGACGAGCCTGAATTCCGCTTTCGCGGGGCTGAGCCTGCGGCCACCGGCCCAGGCACGGAGACCCCAGCCCTTCTTCAGCTCCCGATCCAAGGAGACGACGGTCATGAAGAGCAGGCACACTTTCCAAGTGGAGGTAAGCTCTTGAGCTCGAAAGCGGGCCTGGCGTGGAGGAGGATGGCATCCGATGCGTATGCGGTGGAGCACGCTTCTTTGGAAGCTAGAACGAGATGACCCAGACCCCGATCCGGGCCCGATGCAGATTGTCGTCGGCAGCGAGGAGCCGCAGGATATCGCACTCAAGCGATTCAAGCGGGAAGTCATGAACACGGGACTCGTGCAGGAGGTAGGGATGTCTCGATGGAAAGGGGGGTTTGGGGATTCCATCAGGTTCTACATCCAAGGAGCGTGTCTTGAGTACTGACCGTCTCAACCTGTGCGTGCATGGGTGCAGGTGCGGCGCAGGCGTCGCTTCGAGAACAAGGTGGAGGCCAAGAAGCGGAAGAACAGGGAGAATCAGCTGCGGGCAAAGCGGTGAGGTGACGGACTGAGTTGAAGTGCACGCATCAGGGGTGGCATTGCTGTGCTTGCTATCATGCATACCCCTGCACAAGTATCCGACACAGAGTGCCATTTCAGCCACTCTGCCCTGTCCTCGCGGCAAAGGCTCACATCTCTTTTGTCTCATCCCTATGCAGAGTGCGGCAGTATGGAAGCAGGGCGCAGAAGCCTATGGCTGGCCTTCAAGGCCCCTCAGTCTTCACTGACCTGTTCGGCAGCCTGGACGACATCTTCGCTGACGACTTTGACAATGGGGCAACCCAGCAGCCGCGGCAGTACAACAACAACTACAAGGGCAATGGATCGGGTGGAAGCGGGAAGCCTTACAATGGTGCCGCCAAGGCTCCGGGAAGCTTCACGCCGAGCCACACAGTCAACAAGCCTGTCCTCGCGGAGCAGCGATGATGGCTGGCCACGTTGGTTGCTCGTTGCTGCACATGTAAAGCACACAGCTTTCTCCCGTCAGCGGGCAGGCTTCAGTCTCCACTAAGCCACAGTTAACTGGACTCGGAGGACTGGGCGGCGGTAAACCTAAATTTCCTCCTGCAACGTCTACTCATCCAACTAAGCCGCCAAAAGAGGATGCATCTTCACTGGGGAGGGCGCGTCAATCGCCTAGCTTAAACCCCTTGGCGAGAAGCTTGCGAGGCACAAACCTGATCGCCGCACGGAATACTCCTCGATCCAGGCACGACTACATTTCAGTGGAATTCGCGTTGATAATCACCCGTGCATAAGCATCGCGACAGCTTGCATGTTGACGTCGCTGCGGTACCTCGCCTCTAGGGTTTCCGTGGAGCCTGGCAATGCCCCTGGCCAGATCCCGGAACCAGCAAAGCGCTTACTTTGCGATCAGTCCCTGGCAAAGTAGGAGACATACCGCGGCGCTGCCGTCGGGGGATCACACCGTCGCAGAGGAGGCCCTGCTCGCTCCTGCACCGGCGGCAGGGCCCCTTGGCGAGGAGACATGCCCCCCGCCGCCCGAGAAACGATCCAACCCCGCAGCCCCCTTGGTGGTAAACTGGAAGCGGCGCTGCGTGGGTGGTGACCCTCAGGACCCCCTGCCTGTCACCGAGCAGGGTGCAGGGCCTCCTGCCCAGCTGGTACCAAGCAGCCTCGACCCAGGGAGGCACGACGACGTCCTCCTGCCACCCAGCAGTCTCCAACCCGGCTCCCTACGGCTGGAGGGCACTGCCCACCTAGCCTTTCACCCTGATGGCAGACTTTCAGGTGGAAGATGAGCCCGCAGATTTGTCACCCGGAGCAGCTGGATCCTGCGAGCTCGGCCATCTGCACCCCACGTGCTTCATCTCAATCAAATCCTCTCCGTGCGCCATGCAGGGCACATCCTGCACCCTACCCCGGCGGGGGGCTGGGGCTCCATGGGCCTGATGGGCCGCCGCCTGACCAGCTACAGGGAGTGCACCCGCGATGCAGGTATGGCTCTGGTGTGTGCGGCTGGAAGGTTGCAGTGCCTTTTACGTGCCCATGGTGCAGTGTGACGCACTCCCAGGGCGTCAGGCATACAATGGTCGTGATATTGCCCCGTGCATTCCCAGCTGTCATGCTGCCCTCGCCCATCTGGCTCCCCCATTGCCACAGAGTGGCAGCTCTACCTGCTGACCCTGGTGACCAACATGGGAGACCTAGAGGCCATCGCCGAGTGCACCAGCGGCGACGCGGCTTGCCTGAGGTGCGCCTGGTCCCTGCAGCGGGAGCATGCCACTCAATCATACGCTCAGAATGATACGCATGGAGCACACCCCGATCTCGCTGAGCCTGCCTCACCGCAGGGCACCGGCAGAGCTGGAATGCATGGAGCTTGCTGAGCTGGGGCGCAGCCTCCCAGACCTGAAGCCCAGCCGTCAGTGGCTGGGCCTGGACTTCACATGCACCACACTCCTGGTAGGCGAGACAGGGCCAGGGGTATTTCCGATGTGGAAAAGGTACTTGTTTGCAACCGGTGGCATGCTCCGCCATGCTGGCACCATCGCTGCTTGAACCACCCGTCATGGTGTCAAACTGCCCCGCACACCGCAACCCCGTCTCGTCACCCCTGCAGTTGGACGCAGAAGCGCAGCGTCACCTGGCGCGACTCAGAGTGGGGAGCTGGGGAGAGGGGGCCTGGTGCTGCATCGGCCCCGCCGCTGTCACCCTGTGTCAAGACAGGGGGCGTGGTCGCCCCGAGATCCCAGAGGGACAAGCGCCAGGGGTGCCGCTGGCCGCTGGATGGAGGGTGGTTCTGGACGACGAGGAGGCATGGTAGCCCTTTGAATCCCTGCCCACCAACCGCTCGCTGATTGGCCTGAAGGCCCAGTGCACAGGAATCATGACACCGATGGCGGGAGGCACGCAGTGCCAGCAGGCGTGTGCTTGGGGAGCAGGACATGCCACCGCTCGCATGGACTCCCAGGAGCACCTGGCGCCCAGGGGGGTCCATCACTTGGTAATCTTGCCGTCGCGGAGCTTCTTGCGCAGCTTGGCGCGCGCTGCCTTGGTCAGCTTCTTCTCGCCTGCCGAGTTTGGACGAGGGGTGGTGAACATGGGAGGCCATGCAGCCAAGGCCAGCGGGTCGGGAATGGGTCCCATGCTGGGGAGGGCACGGTGCAGGGCCCCACCGGCCTCGAGAATCGCCGCGCACTCCCATCCTCGCCGCGCCCCACCTCCCCCGCCACCTGATACTCACCCTCGTCGGCGGCAGTCGCAGCGGAAACGGGTTGCACGGGCGCCGGGGCGGGGCGCGCTGCGGGGGTGGGCGCCGGCTGGGCGGGCGCCGGGGCCGGGCGGGCGGGCGCCGGGGCGTGGGATGCCACGGGCCCGGGCCCAGCGCTGGCCGGCGGCCTCGCGCCTGCAGCCTGGCCGGGATACGGGCGAGCGGGCACGGGCACCGGGCGATGGCTTACGCCTGTCGGGGGCTGGGGCCGCTGCGCCTGAGGCGCACGCTGCTGCTGCGTGGGGGGGCCGTGGGGCGCCGGGCGCCCGGCCCCCGGCGAGGGGCCGGGGTGCCGCAGGGGCGTGGCCGGGGACGAAGGCCCGCGCGGGGGCGCCGTTTGACTGGTGGGGACCGGCCTGCGCGTAATAACTTCGT